GACACAATTCTGCCGCTAAACAGATTCGCATCCCAATCGAATAAGCTAATTGGGGTAGCTCACTACCCCAACGCCGCATCGTGTCAATCGAGAAGACAAGGGAGACCTCAAACTCTCAAGACCAACCTCGAACAGTGCCTTCTAATAAAAGATCAGCCTACGGGCGGACTTTTGTTTACTTCATCAGCTGTACATACTTAGATATTGGGTTAGATTCCGTTTCATATTTTGTCGGTTGATTTTTGGTTTTAACGTGGTTTTAACTCTTTGATTTTTGGTATTATTTATTATTGTAGTGCAAAAAACTAATTATTTTGGTGTTGAAGTGACATAAACTACTACCAGATATATGGTCACTCTCGGTTTCGCATAAAAAAATAGAAATTTTAAAAATTACACGTTGTGCAAGTGATTTAACCTAAAAGTGCCCATACATTTTTTACTTATCGTGATTTTTGTGTGTGTTTTTTAAGACTCTAACAATTCATCAATAAAGCTTAAGTGGAGTGTGTTATTGGTGCTATGCCTCATCTTTGTTGTGTTCCTGGTGGAAAGGATAGTTACTAAGGATAGTTATTATACTAGGCAGCCTAAAGTGTCCGGAAGAGCAAGAAAAGTGGGTACGAGTTATAAATCAAGAGAATTTTATTGAAAATATCTTTAATAAATTTAAAAATAATATTCTCCCATGATGGTATTAATGAAAACTGGACAATTATGTTTATTTTATTCATATTGTGGAATCTCCACTCCAAGTGTTGCTGGTTCAGCTTCGATAGATTCAAACACGTAGGTAGGTATTATGATCTAGGGAAAAATAAAGAATATGTGTATTAGAGATCATGAAAAAGATTATTATTTTGAGTTCAAATTTTAAAAAAGATTTTGTAAAAGACAAGACTGATACAGTTTAAAAGAAGAATGTGTTTTGTTTGATAATATATAATGTATGTTAAGCATAACATATATTTGTTCAGTAATTTTAATGAATAGTATTGATTATTTATAATACCAAATTAATATCAAATATTTAAGTGATGGCTGAATACAATATGAATAAAATAACAATAAAATTGGTATATTTGCATAATACAAAATTAAGTTTTAAGAATAAAGGTGTTACTAAAATACTAAGAAATTCATATTTCTTTGTTTTAATTGGTCTAATGTTATTTACATTTTACGTAAGAATTATACCGTATCATCGAAAAAAATCGGCGTCTAGTTGGCTTGGAAATAAACATCGATGACATTCCCTAAATAACTGTACACATAAAATAATTAACTAGAATTTTACAATCTTGGAAAATTTGATATTCTTGAACCTTGATTCTAAATATTCTAAAATTTTTGATTTTCTTGGGATTTAGGTTCGGGAAAAACGCTGATTAAGTTTTCATTTGGTTTTTCATTATTTTTATTTGGTTTAAAAAAAAACGGTTCGGCTAACATTATAGCCTCCATCAGTGTTGTGTCATATGAAAAAATAGTGTCGAATATAATCCAAAAATTGCATATAAAATATTCACACCACGCACATAATGTTTACTGCGTACTCCATAGTCAATGTAGATAATTTTAGTGTTAAGAATAATAATTTTAAAAAATATGTGGTCATCTTTTGATAAGTTTATATTAGTTTATTAATTGCAGTAAACATTATGAGGTGTGAATTATATTGTATATGTAATTTTTTGGATTATATTCGACACTATTTTTCTCATATGACACAACACTGTGAAGGCTATAGTTAGCCGAAACGTTTTTTTTAAACCAAATAAAAATAATGAAACCCCAAATGAAAACTTAATCAGCGTTTTTCCCGAACCTAAAAATCCCAAGAAAATCAAAAATTTTAGAATAACTTAACATATAAAATGCCAGCGATCTTCATTTCATAGCCATCGCTGACGCTTTTTTTAGATAATATTGTATTATTTGTAAATATAATTTTTCGAACATTGATACTTGCAAAATATACATATAAATTTTGTGAATGCAAATAATAATACATCACTATTAGTAGATATTAAATGTTTTTGTTAAATTAGATCGATTTTCAAACCCCAAAATTTAAAATATATTTACATTTTACCCATTATCTTATGTACCTATACATTATTTGTACATTGTAAAACATTTGCTGCATTTGTATGGTTCATAGTTTATTTGTCAAAGTATTTATTACTATAAATAGGTATATATGTTGTAGTTATTAACTGTATATTATGTATATTTCATTTAAACTATATCATTTTTAAAATACAAACCAAAAATCTGAGGAATAATTATGTTTTCCATGTATTCTACAACATATTTATTAATCCGTTATATCTAACTAGCGTGACGTCATAAATCTCGCCCGTAGGCTGATCTTTTAATAGAAGGCACTGCCTCGAAGGCAAGACGTCACACCACAAGAGGTTTTCTTCCGGTCAAACGACCCGTTGCCTTAAGGTGCATCCACACTATCCTAAAAACGGCGTATCGGCGTAACGGCGTAACGACCTTGAATCGATTTCCAGTAATTGGCTGAAATTTTTGACAGATAAATTTGACAGGTAAAATTTCTGACAGATGAATTTTTCAGCCAATAGAATTACTGGAAATCTATTCGTCATTACGCCGTTTTTAGGATAGTGTGGATGCACCCTTACAGTACATGCAACGTTTATAGTCAAAAGACTCTCAACCCCCAAATATCAGCCATCAGCCTATGACAAAACACAACACAACAGCCAGCCGGCATATCAACTACTTACCTGCCGCAGGCAAGCTAAGCCTCCTCTTACATCACAATTTTACCGGATCGTAAATATTTACATTACTTGCCAATGAATCATACTATTTTCTCTAATCGACTTTAAAATAGAGTGTTTTAGCATTACTAGATAAATAAATAGAGAGTTTCCGAATTATACGAGCCCTAACAACTATATGTTGGGACAAGGTCTTTTTTTTTGCAATAAAAATAGTAATTTGTTAAAACGACTCAATTTATTTTGTTTATTATTCTAAATTCAAACATTACAATATGATCTAGACAACTTTACTATATTTTTATAACTTTGCAAACAAATCACTGTAGATAATAGCTTATTTTGCCAAAATCAAGCTATATATAACTATATATTGGGACAGCACAACAAGAAATTTGTTTGATACGGAGTTACATCACCTTTCGCCTTAACAACTGCCTGAACTCTTAATGGCATTGTATTTACCAAAGATTGGCACATTTGAGGAGGAAAATTATCCCGAATTTCCTGCAGTTTTGTCCGCAAATCAAAAATTGTTCGTTGAGGGTGGTTTCTTAAATATTGCTTCATTTTATGCCACACAGTTTCTATAACATTGAGGTCCGGACTACTTGCAGGATGGGATAGAACTTTTATATTATTATTACCGAACCAATTTTTAGTTGATTTTGCTGAATGGCAGAATCCATCTTGTTGGAAAATATAGTCTTCGTTTGGAAACAATTCGTGAGCACTAGGCAAAAGTGAGATCTCAAGTGTATGTTGATATTTTTGGGCGTTAACAGTGTCATCTATAAAATTTAATTAGCCCAAACCAGACCCAAACTTCTTGCTGACATGCAACCTCAAACCATAATCCCCTTAGGAAATTTAACAATCCTCTTTAAGCAATCTTTATGAAAGGCTTCTGCTTTATTTCGTATTATTAGTTTTCGATGATCTCCAACGCAAACATCAAATTTAGACCCATCGCTAAATATGACCTTATTCCAATCATTTTGTGTCCACGATAATTTAGATTTTGCCCAATTGTAGCGATTTTTCTTCTGAATTTCTGTCAGTAACGGTTTTCCTTTGGCCTAAATAAGAATTTGTATCAATAATGTTCAGGTAATTGATTATCCACACAAAATAAAGTTTACCTTGTAAAACCCCCAGACCACATTTATGGATATATTTTCGGCAACATTCCCTTGATATATTTAAACTAGTTACTGTATTCCATTTAACTGTTACTTCACGAAGAGTACTTTTTCTCGCAGACTTGCGCAAATTTTTACTAAATTTCGTAAATCTCTCTGAGATACAAGTTTTGGCCTTCCCGAACTTTTACCTCGAACGTCTACATTGGCAGATTGCCGTATTTTTTTTATTATATTAAAGACCGTGGTTTTTGGAATACTTAAATCATCAGAAATTTTTCGAATTGTTTTTCCCGTACTGTATTGACGAATGATAATTTCTCGTAGTTTTTGATTTGTAGCTTTTCCACGGACCATTGCTTTGAATTAAATTAACAAAATTGAGTAAATCTTACTACTCAAAGTATCGAGTCACTTACAAGCTGTCAATGCTGAAGTAAACAGTTTGCGACATTTGTGACGTTTATAACAAAGCCGCCTATGATGATATTAATTATTTAAAAATACTTGTCCCAACATTTAGTTGTCAGCAAATTTGTCCCTTTATGAACAAAATCCGCAACTGTAAATATGGATTGATTGAGAAATTCATAAAAATATTGTCAAGTTGTTTAGGATATATGGCTATGTTTATATTTCAAAAATTAAACATATATCTTTCAGTTATTTTGAAAAACCAGTGCAATAATTCTAAAATATGACCTTGTCCCAACATATAGTTGTTAGGGCTCGTAAAACCATTATTATAACCAACTTATTTTCCAAGTTTTACAAATGTCATTTTCTATCGAATAAAGTAAAAAAATACCGAGGGTGCCATTTAAAAATCAAAAGTTTTAGTCATTTCCGGTGAAATAGAAGAAAATTTATGTCATATACTAACATACCAAATCTCGTTTTTTTTTGCGAGCCACTTTTGAGACGCACCCGGTATAACATTAGAGCAGAGTTTAGGTAACACATCCTACAGCCATAAAAAACTTTTAACATAGCATAAAGGGCACAAAGAAACTGCGACCTAGCTAACTAACAGCGACCTAATTTACTAACAGCTATTGGTCCACTATAATTCAGACTAATTGCAATAAAACCATTAAAACACATTCAAAAGCGATATATTTATTAAATAAGCAAATTCTCCATATCACCTACATATCATATGTATATTACAAATCAGTTGAATAACAGACCTAAGAAATAATGGAAAAAATCTTGGTCTAAGTTATATTGAGATACAGTTTAATCATTTTATATTAATTTATTTAATCTCTGGCGAGTAAAATATTTACAAAATTTCAAGTATTGGGCTTCCTTTTAAACCTTTGTCATTTTTGGAAGCATTTTCTCATATAGTGACTTTAATATGTTATAGTAACAATTTGGGATTATCCACCATTGTCCAGAATATTTCACGAGTTTTTATACCATGAATTAAACTTTATAAAACTGCCTGCATAGCTTGTAGTGTTTTATAGGAAAATTGTAATTAAGAGAAATTTAATTGTGATTTGTTAGAAAAAACAAATTATATTAGATATTCGCAGCAATTTTCAAATTTCCTTCCAAATTTTCGATAAAACTTTAAAGTTATGACATTACTTTTTGAGAAAACCCGGTAAATTTAATTATTAAACTCACTATATTAGATATATCGCGATTCAAAAAATTATCGAATTTTTTTCGATGGAAGTCAGTCTATGTTGTTGTCACTAAATATCAATTAAATAAAAATAAGTTTTTTGCTGGAAACTGAACAAGAGGGTACTACGATTTTTCGGGGGTCTTGTCTGTCACTATTGCCTTAATATCTTCTGCATCCAAGGTTTCATACTTCATCAGTGCCTCGGCAAGCGCCTTATGCTCTTTGGCGTGAGACTTCAATATTTGTCTTGCTCTTTCATAACTTTCTGTCAAAATTCTTCTGATTTCGCTGTCCACCTACAGTAAAAAAAAAAAGAATAACAACTATTCGTTTTATGTATTTTACTTACCATTTCACTAGTTGTAGATCCTAACTGTTCGGGAACAAAACTCTTGTTATTTTCTGGTATAGTTCTCACACCAACCTTCTCAGACATACCCCATTCCCTCACCATCTTGGTAGCTACTTTAGTGGCTTGGGACAAGTCAGAACTGGCTCCAGAAGTAATTTTATCTGGTCCAAATATCAATTCTTCTGCCGCTCTACCCCCCATCATTGTATCCAAAGAGGCAAGCAATTGAGACTTGGTAACATGATACTGCTCCTTCTCTGGAATATATGCTGTGTGCCCCAAACTGGGACCCCTGGGTATTATAGTCACTTTGTGTAATGGATGACTTTCTTTAGTATAATATGCAACCAAAGCATGTCCTCCTTCATGGTAGGCTGTAATCAAATTAGCTTCTTCATCAGGAATTCTGCACTTTCTTTCAGGTCCCATTATAACTTTGTCTCTGGCAAATTCCAGGTGTTTCATGCTCACAAAATCTGCTCCGTCTATAGCAGCCCTGAGAAAACTCAATATTATCTATTTTATCAAAAAATATTTCAAAAAACTTACCTCAAGGCAGCCTGATTCACCATATTTTCCAAATCAGCTCCAGTGAATCCAGTGGTGCCCCTAGCCAAAAGTTCTAAATCCACATCTTTTGCCAAAATTTTACTCAAATAGAGCCCTAAAATTTCCTTTCTTCCTGTATAATCTGGTGTAGGAACTGTAACCTTTAGAAAACACCAATTACAAATTAAAATAAACAAAACTATTATACACACCTCCACATCAAACCTGCCAGGTCTCAAAAGAGCTTGATCCAGATCTTCCCTCCTATTTGTTGCTCCCAATACAATAACCCCTTCATTTTGATGAAACCCATCCATCTCACTAAGTAGCTGGTTGATAGTTTGATTGGCATAAGGATGTAAAACACTATTGGTCCTTTTTGAACCAACTGAATCAATTTCATCAATAAAAATAACACACGGGGCTCTCTCTTTAGCTGCTTCTACAATTTTAATACCATTAACAACAATAGTCGTACTTGTGAATTAAATAACTGACTAAATAAGTCTCTAACTCTTCTAGCTCCTTGGCCAACAAGAACTTCATCAAATTCAGGTCCAGCTGCATGAAAAAAAGGTACTCCTGCTTCACCAGCCACTGCCCTAGCTAATAATGTCTTTCCAGTACCTAAATTTTTATAACAGGATGGTTTAGGTACAATCTTTATATTAAGGTATTTTTATCACCTGGCGGTCCTACAAGCAAGACCCCTTTGGGCAATTTACCTCCCAAATTTGAGAACTTATCTGGATTCTTTAGAAATTCAACCACATCTTTCAGTTCTTGTTTTGCTTCATCGACGCCTTTCACATCTTCAAAGGTCACATGAATATCCTCTGGGTCTACTTCTATTTGATTTCCCAACTGAATCCTATTTTTTACATTTTCATTAAAAATGTAAGTAGTAATATAATGTAAGAATCTTACCTAAATACAGATCCATTTGTACTAGCCATCAAACTAATAACTATAGCAAGCACAATGGTTAATGTTAAAACTTGCTGAACTATTCTGAAGTATTTTGAAGCCTTGCCACTTTTTGTTGCATTTGTGTTCCCCAACAAATACCCTTCAGCAAAAGCTAACTTGATTCTTTGTTTTTCACTCTCAGTCAATGTTGAATCTTCAGCATTAAGAAGTTTTTTAAGCTGTTCAGTCTCAGCTACAGAACTACCAAGTGCAACTTTGTTACCCACTTCATTGGAAGCCCCTATACTGCTTTTTAGACGACTCATTATTGGCGGATTTCTTTCAATTTCGGCCTGAATACTTCTTTCAGTCTTAAAACCCCTCGTTTGTATGTTAAACGTAAATTTATTTTCATTTAGCAAACCTTTTACAAGTTTCTGATAAAACCCTTGTGATACTTGGACATTTTTTGATGAATTTCTAACTATCAAAGTAGGTACTGTAGCATTGAGTTCTTTTTCAGAAAATCCATGTTTGTTTTCAAAAAAACTCGCATTCGATATGTAAGAGACATTAAAATTATTTAAGAATGGTTTGCTAAATAGCGAGTTGATGTTGAGGTGCTTGGCAAACGAATAATCGCAATTTTTGACCGTTTCCAAGAAACTTTCCGAACATAAAAACTGTTTAGCATGTTTAGCTTTGGTCTGTGCTTTTTTGTGAAAAAATGAACCTGGCGTAGTCGTTATTTTTGCACTGATCTGGGTTAAAGTAGCGAAAGCCTGTGAAATTGCATAAACTTAAAGAGACGACAGTTCGGTTATATTTTTAATTACGTTACCTGATTTTGGTTCTGTAGAGAAAACATGTTGTCTACATCAATGGAAACTTGTTTAGAGGTGAGATAAACACAAACTACAAATTTTTGAATAGAAATGAATGAAAATTCTTATTTTTTTGTTGAGATAACCTTTATGACTAGGAATGGAACAATGACAAATGACATATAGTTTAGCATAACCACCAACCTAAAGGTTCCAGATAAAATCCCTGTTAAGATGACATTAGGCCTTTAAAATTTGAAACCCTTTTTACTAATATTTAATTAAGAAATACTAGTTTTGGTGGTAAAGGTGTGGATCCGGTGGCTGACCTTGAAGCCCATATTTGCTGCATTTGATCATCGATACTACGCAAGCGCACATCGTCGATGTTGCCAAATTACAGTTTATTTTCGAATTATTTGCAGTTGAAAATTTGATTGTGAAATGAAAGTATTATGAATATATAAAATTGTAATAATAACATTTATTTATATATTTACATTAGAATTTTTTACGGATTTTTTCTTAATGGTTTTAAACTTATTAGAATTATTTTATTTCTTTCAAGTTATTTAATTCTAGTTATTTACAGGCAACAATAGTTTTGATTATATGTATTGATATGTTTTGAAATACTACCATGACGAGTCTTATAAAACAATACACCTCAATGGGAGATATAGAGGTAACATTTTACCTATGTTACTAATATAATATACTTTGATTATAATGTTTGTATCATAATTTCTTAAAAATATCAAGTTAGTGGATTAATGGCAATTTTACGAAGAGTGTGTTGATAAGACTAAAATAAGCTTTATGTTTAATCTTTTTCTCGTTAGAAGGGAGATGGTTTGTGTCGTAGAATACATTACTTATATTCTTTTCTTAATTTACTGTAATTTCTTGTATCCTATAATGCCAAACCTTGACAATATGGTGAAGGTTGAGTTTTGATCTTATTATTTTTATAAAAGGTTTTATACCTGTGTTTATACAAAACCAACTTAAGATTAGTTTGTAATTAGTTTGTGATTTATATTAAAGATCTTTCTTATAATATTTGTTATGTCTTAATCTTAATACTATATTATGCTTTGTCTGGAAAATAAATGTTAAAATATCTTAATTTTGTATATCCTATTCCATCCTTCCATTAGGAAAAATATGGTTTATAAATCATATTATGCTAAGAAAATCACATAAATTAGGTGTAAGAATAGAGAAATCTTAAGGTAACAGAAAAATTAATGCAATATATGTATAAGCAGAATTAAACAAGGTAACTGTAAATATTGCTGAAGCTGATTCTACAATTTTAATTACGGAGGCTAAAAGGCCTTTTAAGGCCTCCGTAGTTTTGATGGAATGTTAAAAAAAACCTATTATGAACATGACATGGAGCTACAGCCTACAGCATTTAAAAATTAAAAAAAGAAAAAACTAGGACACATCCCTTTTAATTTCCCGAATTTTTAATAAAGCACTTTTGAAACGTAGCATAATAATCTAGAGCAATTAGATTAATTATAGGAATCTAGAGTTTTATTTCTATTTAATTTTATTGACTATGAAAATACATAATAAGCGTTCACGTTTCACGTGTTGTGCGAAATATTAAAATAATAATATAAATAAAATAGCGTCAGCGATGACTATGAAATGAAGATCGCTGTCATTTTATATGGAAAATGTCCTCAATCGTCATTTCCCAGCCAACTGGACGCCGTTTTTCGATCATACGGTATATATTGACAAAAAAACACTGAAAAGCACATAATATTTGTTTTCTACTGAAAATAATTCCAAAATAACTTGCAATCTGGCAACATCGAAGATATGCGCATGCGTAGTTTCTGTGACTATATGCAGCAAAAACTCGTTTCAAGGTCAGCCACCGGATCCACACCATTACCGTTTTGGTACCGTTATTGGTTCCGTATTAGAATATAGAAAATTTCGGTAGTAGTGTTTTTTTTTGTAGCATGTAGCCAACGGATGTAGCCTGACGGAGCGGAATTTTCAACACGATTAGTGGGATAATGCCAATGCCTCTCTTTCCTTGTCTAAGGCCAATGCGCTAAACTTGTGCGCTAAACTATTGGCAACAATTGGCAACACTAGTGACGGCCATCTTTACATTCTTTACAGCCTGCGGCCATATTGAGAACCGCCATAGTTGTGAGAGTTTATTGATGGTTTGTTGTGCTTCATTTTTCTGTATTTTATTGATAAAATACCTAAGTTATAACAACCTATATTAAATCTATTTTATTAAACTAATATAGTGTTTGTTTCTACACTTCAAAAGCACCAGAAATGTCTGATACTGAAGAAGGTGTTGCTGGTAAGTCGTTACATCCATACCTACATCGTGATAAAACATTCCATTTTTCTGGATTAGTTTCATTCTACTGTACTTTTAGTGAGAAAGACTCGATCAGGTAGAGCTGTTAAATCGCCATTCAAACCAACTAAACCAGCAACTAAAACCACTGGCCGAAAAACTAGAAAGAAGGTTGTTGTTATGGAGGTTGAAGTAACTGATGATGAAGAAATTGAACAAGTTGACGAAGCAGAACCAGCACCAAAAAAGGTATATATTTATTTGAAGCTTGATTTGTGTAATACCAGCAATACCAAGATAACTTTTTCAGGCAAAACTAGATGAAGATGAACCTGTTTGTGAAACTTTTGAGAAAAATGATCCTTTAGAGACAATTAAAGAAGAAGCAGAGAAGTTGAACGAGAGTTTTGAACTGGTAATGGCTCAGTTTCACTGTAAAAAATGTTTATTAACACATGTATTTTTTTCCAGGTTATGAATGACGTAAATATGTTAGAAGAAGTGACTGAAAATGACAATTTTGAAACCAATATTGCATCAGAAGACATAGTACTAACGGACAAGCTTGAGGAGGAACTACTTGCTGATGATGATGTAGAAAAGGCAGAGAATGGACTGAACTATGAAGCAGTTTTGGAAGAAGTACAGCCTAATGTAAGTGAGGTTGTAGAAGAAACGACTGAAAATGTAGAGGAATCACCTGAGGAAAGCAAAACTGAAGTAGTTATAGAGGAAATAATTGAGGAAAAGGCATCAGAAGAAGTTAAGGAACAACCTCAGATAGAGGAGACACCTGTAATTGAAGAACCATTTGTAGAAGAGCAAGGTCCTGTTGTAGAGGAATCTCCTGTTGTAGAGGAATCTCCTGTTGTAGAGGAATCTCCTGTTTTAGAAGAATCTTCTATTGTAAAGGAAATTCCTGTTCTAGAGGAACCTTCTGTTGTAGAAATAGCTCCTCTTAAAGAAGAGACTCCTCTCATGGAGGAGACTCCTATTGCAGAGGAAACCCCTGTTTCAGAGGAGCCATCAACTGAGGAACCAACTGCAACAGATGAACCAATGGAAACAGAAGATTCAATTAAAAAAGAGACACCTGCTGTTGCAGAGGAAGTGAAACGCATAACACCAAAAGGTGATCCTGAAGCTGAGAATATTTCTGATGAAGAGCTTCCAGGTGTGCTGGTGGCAAAAGTACCAGAAACAGAGGAAGTTTCTGATGAGGAACTTCCTGGACCCAAAAGGGCTGAACTTCCAGCTGATACCGAGGTAATTCATTTATACAGGGTGACTCGGTATTCCAAAAAAACTCCATATCATCTTTTTGGCCCCGGTACGCCTTTTTACAGTTGTTATATATTTTTTCTTTTATCAGGTTGTATCAGAGGATGAGCTAGAAACCACAAAAAAAGAAGCTGAAGAGGAAGAATTTACATCTGATGCTGCAAATGAGACAAAACAAAGAAAATCTTCTGTTGGTGATTATGATCCAACATCACCTACTTCTGAAAATGAATCTGCCCCAAAGAAAAAGGAAGAGAAAGATGACAAAGAGAAAGAAGGTACTATTTAGATACTTTTAATATTTTTTATATATGTAATGTATTTTTTACTAGTTGAACATGCTAAACCACCAAAACCGAAGAAGCTGCCGGAATTGGATAAATACTGGAAAGCTGTCAATGATGATCCTACAGATTTCACTGGATGGACCTATTTGTTGCAGTATGTTGATCAAGAGGTTAGTTATTCAGCTTATTATTAATTCTTTGAAATTTATATGTTTTGTAATGATTTCTAGAATGATATGGAAGCTGCTAGAGAGGCTTATGATGCCTTTCTATCTCACTATCCTTACTGTTATGGATATTGGCGAAAGTATGCTGATTATGAAAAAAGAAAAGGCAACAAAAAGAAGTGTGAGGAGGTATGTACTATTATATTTAAATTAAAACTCAAAGAACTCATTCCAGATAATAAATGTAAGCTTACCATGAAATACAACACTGTAATCTTTTTTTATCAAATATTAATATTCATATTATTGTTTGGATTAAGTCACATGATTTAATGTCTCCTCTGAAGGTTTTGATATTTTTTAACATGTTTATTAAAGTTTTTTTAAGTGGAGACAAATCAAGAGACTTGTCTGGCTTTTGAGAGCTGGAATTTGTGAACTGATTAATTTTTGGTACCCCACAGCGCTTCATCGGGGCGACTGCTACCAACACTACCGATTTATGTATATATACATTACAATCTGATAATATTTATTGTAATACTACTACCACATTGTACCTAGATTTAAGCCTGAATCAATTTTGTTATTTTGTATAAAATGTACCATTTTTTGATCTTCCTCTTTGTACAAAAACTTGTATATTTAACCACGACATACGTACAGCTACAGAGCGAGCTTAATAAATAGCGTCGCTATATGGACCACGAAATTAAAAATGAAGACGGGAAGATATTAGACGATCGTCATTGTCAAGAATTGTCCAGGTTGCCACAGCCGTCTGGGTTCTAAGTTCTGTTGTCTGTTGAGCTTGCAAAAATGTAAGATTTTATTAATTGTTAAGAACAAGTATCATATATTTTAACGTGTATAAATATCTATACGTTTTACTGTGTTCTAGGGTTAAGTTTACGTGCGATATACATATATTATATATAAGTGAAATATTGTAAGCATATCATATTTGTTTGATGTGGGATGAGGCGACCAGTCTGCATTGAGTATATTTTTTAAACAATTTATTCGGCCTATTTAAATATTCCATACGTCTAAGATTTGTAACTTATCTAATAGTAGAGGTTTCAACTTGCGATTTTAATGACATGTAAGTTTGATGTTTAATAAAGTTTCATATTAGTGCTTTCAGTGTACAACAGAGATGTCGCGTTCTTCAAGAGGATCAGCTCGCCGATTAACTTATTCTATTTTGTGAACTGGCTCTTTGAAAACTTAACTTAATGAATTAAAGACAAAGAAAAAAAAATATATTGAATAATATCTTTTTCGTAAAGAACGACTAATATTTTAAAGGGCCAGGTAAATAATTGTGTGATTTATTTTTAGTCTTTTACATTATTTGTTTTATATATATACTTTATATTTCTATTGTAACGCATCGTTGGAATTACTACTATTTCTTTTTAATCTTTCAAGTCGTGTGTAATTCGAATTTATCGATAAACCAAATGAATGTTGAACCATAAAACAAGGAAATCTGATGAACTGTCACTTCTTTCTCGATTCGGCAACGTCGCCACGCCCCCCCTGTCATCCTGTAGGACTCTAAGTAATTCGCCACTTTTTGGGGCTTTTTTTCTTCCTGTTCAGGTATTCGAACGGGGACTCAAAGCTATACCGCTCTCCGTCGATCTATGGATCCATTATTTGACATACGTAAAGGCAACTAGAGGTGAAGACGAGGAACATGTCAGGTAAATCCTTGGTCCAGAAGTAAACTTAGGACTTCCTAGACGTGCCTAGGTAGTCCTATGTTTGACCATGTAGACACGTTTTTTAATAAGTTTTGTCTAATCGATATAGGCTTGGTGCATTTCAGTTAATTTCAATAAATTCCAACCGCAGCGCTGTATACAGGAGAAATCAGAAATTTTTGCTATGTAATTCACGCCGTCCCGGTTACAGTTCATGTTGATCGCATTAAAATAATATTGAAATCGTGGCTTTGTCATAATATTTTAGTATTTTAGTTTTTTGCTAGTGTAGTTATTAGTATAGTACGAGGTTTGTGTGATGTAACATTGTTTCGGGTAGTAAAAAATAACAGAAAAAGAATCCGAACTAGGCGTCGTGTTGTGTTGTGACAATTTCAAATATTAAAAAATTGTCGAAAAAATGTTAACGCGTAAAGGTGCGTATTCATTATCCGAACGAACGAATGAAAGTGCGGTATATTTAGACGGGGACCGAACGCATGCGGCCGTTCGTTCGTTCGTTCGCTCGACCATCCGTTTCGAGTCGGTACATCAAAGGCGTTCGCCAACAAATGCCTCCGGTCTTCTCGTGCGGTCCCCGTCCATACCACTAGCGAAGATTCGTTCGTTCGTTCGTTCGGATAATGAATACGCACCTTAAAGGAGAGCGTAATTAAGGCGTTGTTGGGTGCAATAACATTCATTAACTCAACTCTCCCTAAACAATTATTTACTGTATTAATGGTATACTTTTTTTAATCAACTAATGGCTAAATGTTTTATGAACATCTAAAATTATAATTATGTATCTTTAAAAAATTTCGTTATAGCTGAAATAGCTCCAATAGGTCTGTCAACAAAATTTAGTTTTCTACTGCAAATTATAAATTTGTGCATATTGAAAGACCGTACAAGTTTGAAAACAAATACTCATATACTTTTCGAGTTATTCGTAATTCAATTTGGATCATTGCGTCGAGGCGGGAAAACGCTGCCAGGAGAGCTACCGTGGGTGTGACGTCACATGCTAATCGCGCGTAGCGCTTTACCAGAGACCTGTGCCAGAGACATAACCACAGGACATAACAGACGGATCCGTTGCGTCGTTTTCTTTTATCCCTGTCTAGATTTAATTAGATTAGTTACATAGATGTAGTCAAGTTTTATCGGTACTACAAGTTACGCCACTGTATTCAGAATTATTTGTACCGATTCTGTTTTACGCTTAGTCATAAACGACCCTTCAATTATTATAGTCGATGGAAAGTCCTTATTGTAAAATTATATAGCCTTTATTCAGATACGTTTGTATTTTACGCAAACAAAGGATCTACTAGGTACAGTTTTAACACTTAATCACACCTTTTTAATTTAATTCAGTTCCAAGATGTCGCTTTTTACTCTACTTTTCAACACGCAGTTACTTTTTACCTCTCTAAGTTCCAGACAGTCCAGAGTCGGCAATTTTTATATCAAATTTTACTTTTAAAACTAATTGTTTAAGTTTTCCTTATATATTAAATAAAGTATTTAATTAAGAACAATAAAGTGTGTGAAAAAACAATCAACATAAGCAAAGCGACAATTTTGATCCTGAACATTGACATTAGAGGTCTACTAGAGCTTGTCGGACGGTAATACTGGTTCTTCCTGATATGTTAATATTTGATCTGTTTAATGTGTTTAGCAATTTTTATTAGGTCAGTTGTGAGTGCGTATTGAGTTTTAAACTTAAGATGGTTGCTAGAAAATGGTGTTTTGTGCCTGGATGCGTAAGCACAACGATTAAGACTCCAACTAAAGTATTTGTAAGCGTTCCAAAGGAAATAACAAAAAGAAAAAAATGGTTCGCGGCAGTCGGGCGGGATATTACAGACCTTTCTTCAGCATCGACTATTTACTGTTGCGAGGACCATTTTAATGTAAGTTTGTGTAGACTTGTGTTGCGGCATAAAATAGTATATTGTTTTACTAGGAGTAAAAATGATACTTTTTGCGGCGAGGCTGTAGTTTTAGCTTTAACACCACTGGATTGAACTTGGTTATAATCAGTATTCATCGCGAGAAAGTCGAATACCATATTGACATCTACTTGCGGTAAATTATGTGAATCTCCTTTCTGGAAACCCTCCTCCATATTTAGCAACAAAAACAACTTCTTTTACGGTATTCAACAACAAAAATAATAATGTAACTGCTGAAAATGTCGACGGTACTTCAATACCTTGTATAGGGAGTGTCACAGTCTTACGGTCTTGCCGTGGCAAGCGGAGCAGCGTGCGACAGGCATGTGACGTCAGGCCAATGAGAGCGCGTTTATTTAATTTGAACGGAGCGCATAACTTCAAGAGTCTCTGTTGTCAAAGGAGTTTATTTTTTTGAAAAAAAAAGTTATTCAATTGGTATTATAATACTAAAACATTAATTTTTTACCACTTTTAGTGCAATTTTTTTTTAGTGAACAGACCTATTATGACCCCACTAGCAAAACCGGTGCGTAAAACTATGCTCGCTACCGTAGTTGAACTCATCTAAAATTTTTTTTAGCTGGGATAATAAATGATAATACAAGTTAGACCTTCAAAAGATATCAACATATTTTTCAATAATTTTTTTTTAGAATTTTCACAAATTATACTTCCTAACACTTTTAGAATAGTTGAAGAATACGCTCAAAGAACGTTGTAAGTAACAATAATAATTATCAAATTTTTCGAGAGAAGCAAAAAACCATTTCGTTCTTTCATTGAAATCGCAAAAATCGCTCAGATAAAAATATTACGAGACCAAATTAGAAAAAAACTTTACCTCACTGGATCGATGTAATAGTCTACTTACAACGGTATTCCACAAAAAACTCCATTTCGTAAAGTTTGTTAGTTACAAGCAATAGCTATTTATGTAACTAGTACCTAAAATGATGTTTTTTAGGACGAATCATTACTGTTTGCGGACGAGGCGTTAGCCGAGTCCGAAATAGTAGATGAGTCCTAAAAAACATAATTTAGGTACGTGTTACATACACTATTTTTTGTCATACGCTTTTTACAGTTTTTTAGAACGCATATTCACCGATGGTGGCAGCACCGGCGGAGAATGCACCAAGCCTGTAATAATTTGACGTCACTTAAGGGAAACGAATGCATAAAATATTTATTTTTAGATCTCAGTTTGAACGAGCCCTAACAGCTTGCGGCTTGGAGTTTCGGTCTGACAGACTGTGGGACTCTTACATCAAGTGGGAAACCGAAGGCAAACGCTTACAAAATGTCACTAGAATCTATGAGCGACTGTTGGGAACCCCCACTCAAGGATACACGACGCATTTCGACAAGTATGTCTTTAATTTATCAATGAAATTTTACTACATAAAAAATATCTGACAGCTTCCAGGAACATGTATCTTCCAACCCGCCAAACAAAGTATTGGACGTTGACGAATTTATGGCCCTCAGAAAAGAAGTTAGGAACATGCTGAAACATGACACTGTCGAAAACGTGGTAGAAAACGCCGCCATGCCACCTGGTGATGAAGATTCCAAACTCTACAGGTTAGAGGAAAAAATAGAAAGATTTTTAAATTAAAAAATATTTTTTTTAGTTCTGATGAAGAAACAAAAGCCATCAGAGAAAGGATTGTATCAATAAGAAGAAAGATTCATAAGAATACTGTCAGTGCTGTCACCTCAAGATGGAATTATGAAGAAGGGGTAAGTTTAGACCAGTGATGGCGAACCTATGACACATAGGTCAGACACTGACCCACGCAATATTTTTTAATTAACGCACAATAGCTAGGCAACCATATGTTTTTTACGCGGATTTATTTAGATTTCCTAATTTGTGTGGATAATTTGAGGCGTCAAGTTGCAAAACGTTAATCCATTTTAAAAAATGGCCTAATGATATACATGAAGAGTGGACCCTAATATCAACATAAACATAGTCCCAAACTGTAGCAAAAGTCGCCTATTCCTATATAAAATTCACTACAAATTACGTTACTGCAGCAAAATCCGTCTTATCCTCTTATACACACACCAGAAAAATCTAGGGATATCATTTTATTAAAGTTAAAAATAAATGTTTTGAAGAAACAACCACATATTTGTAGGTCGATTCTTTCTACTTCAATTGAAATGAAGTAGTCACACTAGTTATTTCTAAATTTGGGATATTTGCAGAAGTGTTTGTGCATTTATGGTCAAATGTATAAAAAGCACCTAGCATGAATTGTTCAAATTTAACCTGTACTGGCTATGTTTTTATGACTATATATAACTGGCCAGAATTCATTCAAATAACTCTGTTTAGTATTAAACAACATTATGGATCTTAACAGAGACGAAATGCTAAGGGCCATGGGTATGCTCGAAGCTGGAATGCGCCAAATTGACGTAGCTAGAGCATTAAATACAACGCAAAGTGTAATATCGCGATAAAGTGCACGCTACCGTGAAAGTGGTGATGTTGCTGAAAGGCACACAGGGCGATATCGCATTACTACCCCTCAGCAAGATCATTTTTTACAATTAAATGCTCGACGCCGACCGACTCTTAGAGCACCAGAGCTTAGTTTAATTCTTAAGGAAACACATAATGTAACCGTTAGTCCTGACACTGTTCGCAATAGATTAAGAGAGGTCAACTTAAGAAGCAGACGCCCCTGGAGAGCTCAACCCTTAACGAGAGGAAATCGAGAGGTACGTGATATTTATGGGCTCAAGATCATGTTCAGTGGTCGAATGAACAATGGGCCAATGTTCTCTTCACGGATGAGTCACGCTTTGGAATTCATCCGGATTCGAGAAGGCTTAGGGTATGGAGAGAACCGGGAAATCTTATTCGATTGGATCATGTTCAGGAAGTGCACCCTTATCAAGGTGGAAAAGTTATGGTCTGGGGAGGAGTCCAGTTAGGCCAAAAAACCGATCTCGTTTTTCTTGAAAGGTTTCTAACAGGAATCACATATCGTCATTTAATTCTTGAGCCTGTCGTGTTACCATATGCCTATGATTTTGGGAGAAACTTCATTCTCATGCATGACAATGCACGGCCTCATACAGCCAGAATGGTAAGTGAGTTTATCAATGCTCATCAATTAAACATCTTACCCTGGCCGGCACAATCTCCTGACCTCAACCCCATCGAGCACGTATGGGACGCGGTCCAAAGAAGAATTTTGAGAATGGATATGCCTCGTGAAACTCGTAGGGATCTGGTTCGGGCCGTGAATGCAGCGTGGCAAGCTGTACATCAAGAAGAGATCGACAACCTGATCAGGAGCGTGGAGAGACGATGTAGGCCTGTAATAAACAGTAGAGGAGGCCATACCCTTTATTAAGTAAAAATGGCTTTATCTTTTTTTTTTAATTCACAGTTTAGAATAAAAAAAATATGTGTATTTTTTGAGTTCAATAAAAATCAAGGTAAATTTGAAAAATTCGGTAAATTTCGCATTTTTATTTCCAATACGTCCTGTAAACTATTTGTTTATTTTAATTTTATTATATCAGAAATGCAAATAATAAAATTACTGACAATGGCTGGATAAAATTGTAATATCCCTAGACTTTTCCGGTGTGTGTATTTGCTTTTTATTGTCATAGTTGCAAACTTCGCATTTTTTCATAGGCTTTTTACACAAGTATAATATTACTACTGACGTCTTATCCATTTCAAAAAATAACATACGTAATAATCCATACATAATCCCAAGTTAGGATGCAAATATCTTGCTGTAGCAAAACCCGCAAAACAAATCGCATAAAAACGTGTCCATTAAGTGGAATCATTGTTTTGTATCTCGTTTTTGTAGAAATAAATTTAATATTTAATTTTTATTCCTACAAAAACCAGATACAAAACAATGACTTCATTTAATGGGCACGTTTTTTGTAAAATAACTCTTCAAACATTTGCTAAAACAGTTTTTGCTTATTAGAGAACAACGGTATACGGTCGAGTCGGCCTACAAACACGTCAACGTTTACGTACGCATGCGCATTTCTTATGTTTTTTATACACGTAAAAGATTCTTTACGTCTACGTATACGTGCCAGCAGCGGCCGACTCGACCGTATGCCGTTGTTCTCTATTATCTCGAAACGTTTTTCGGATAAGACCGGTTTTTGAAGCTTGATGCCTCATTTATATTCTATTTATAATTTTCCAAGCACTGGTAATCGACACAAAAGCAAATAAAATGCTATCTAAAGTTCGCCATCCCTGTTATAGCCTATACATATATCTAGATATGACTTCTCTGTTTGTACTGTGTAAAGTCCTGAATATTAGCGACACAATTGTCACAAAAACTTAAGTCTTAATGTGTTATGGCCTAAATGTTGGGAAGAAAAACTAAAAAATATATTTTTCTAGTTTCTCACAATATGAGTATGAAGCAAAGATAACCACTAAATAATTCTTTTCGGGAATAAGATATATAGCTATATTTTTTATCCAATTGTTTTATTTATAATGTTTATAGACATTATAATATCTAAATATAGTTTCTTTGTATCTACTTTTGAAAGCCCTGAATGTTGGCGACACATTGCCTAAAAAAAGGATTGTGACTCCAGATATAATGGTCGAAGGTGTCGACAATAAAAATAAAAAATAAAAAACTTATATTGCTAGTTTCTTATGATGAAAAACACTGATAGATTGTTTTTAGCTCAGTGTGTGGCATAAACAATTCCTAAAGCATAACTCATTTGAGGATATTTGCAGAGGCCATCTGATTTTAATTTATATTTCTTTTAAATTTAAATTCAAATTCAAATTTTTTTTGTTCATATATGTTTTTCTTTAATAGATAAAGAGGCCGTATTTTCATGTTAAACCACTTGAAAGGTGTCAGTTGAATAACTGGCAGGATTACCTAAACTTCGAGATCGAACAGGGCGACAAAACTCGCATCATCGTTTTGTTTGAAAGATGTTTAATTGCTTGTGCTTTATATGAGGATTACTGGCTAAAGGTAAGTGCTTACCTACACCCTACACAGAATCACTTTACATATATATTTTTTTTAGTTTGTACATTATTTGGAAGGTTTGAAAGATCCAGAAATGCAACCCAAAATAAGGGATGTATATGAAAGAGCTTGTACCATCCATCATCTAAAGAAACCTAATTTGCACCTTCAATGGGCGATTTTTGAAGAAGCTAGTGGTAACCCTAACAGAGCAGCAGAAATCTTAGTTAATTTGGAGAAACAAGTACCTAACCTGCTCCAAGTAGCTTACAGGAGGTAACTAATACCTTTAGTTAGCTCAAGAATAGTTAAAATGATAATTATTCTAATTCTAGGATCAATTTGGAACGCCGTAGGGAAGAATATGAAAAATGCAGTCAGTTGTTTGAACATTACATCTCTAGCGCGAAGAACAAAGTGATTTCCAGCAATATCGCCATCAAGTATGCCAGATTTTGCCTGAAAATATTGAAAGATTTTGACAAAGCCAAAGAGGTAAGGCTTTTCTGATGAAAGAACATCATAATGAATTTAATATATTAAAAAAACATTAAAAATGCCGTAGCGATCTTCATTTCATAGCCATCGCTGACGCCTTTTTTTCGATTGTACGGTATACATAGTAACTAATTCTTCATCAGTGATTTTTTTTAATTTCTTATATTTTCATCAGTATTTTTTAATGTATCTTAGATTATGTAACTACATAGGCTTTAACTTTGTTATTCATTGTGTAACCAAAATAAGTTTTAAATTGACGTCACCTCTAGGCAAATATGTACCTATATACCGGGTGCTTCTCAAAAGTGGCTCACCCCCTATAACTTTTTTATTTTTTCAGATAAAAATCGAGATTTGGTATATTAATATATGACATAAATTAGGATTGATTGACGTATTCAATTATTTTCTGTCACTTCCTGTTTCACCGGAAGCCGTATTCAATTATTTTCTGTCACTTCCTGTTTCACAGCTTTTGATTTTTAAATGGTACCCTCGGTGTTTTGTTGCTTTATTCAATAGAAAATGATGTTCTGAATAGAATGACATATCATATGTCAACTTTTGAAATTTTCGAGTATGGTTTATTTGAAATTGCAACATGCAATTCATAACGACAATTTGACTCGAATTGCCAAGTGTGTGAAATGTACTAATGGAACTTTTTCGAAATATGCTAATGAGCCACCCTCGTTCCTTTTGAAAAAATTGAGATATGATTGAAAATACGATTTGGGCATCTTTTAACTGGCCGGGACAAGACGCGAAAAACATTAGAGTATGAAATCTGTTTTTCCAAGGCTCCTTGATTAAAAATTAGTATTTTTAACACAACCATGGCGCTCTAGATTGAAATTTAAAATTCAATTTTGTTTTAAGCAAAAAATGTTGACATATTAAATTGTCATTCTATTCAGCATGTCGTTTTCTATCGAATAAAGTAAAAAAGATACAGAGGGTGTCATTTAAAAATCAAAAGTTGTAGTAATTTCTGGTGAAACAGGAAATGGTCGAAAAGAATTGAATACGTCAATCAATCCTAATTTAATTTATGTCATATACTAACATAACAAATCTCGTTTTTTTTTATCTGATAAAATAAAAAAGTTATAGGGGTGAGCCACTTTTGAGACGCACCCGGTAGAGAGTACTATTTTTATTGTATCTTTTTCTGTCATTTCTTTTACAGACACTAAAATCAGCTATTACTAAGGATCCTAATAACCCCAGGTTATACTTACAACTGATCGATCTAGTCCTACAGCGTGAAGAGGTTAAGCAAGATGAAGTTTGTGGCATCATAGACGAGTTTTTGGAAAAAGATGGCCCAGACGCCGATCAAAAAGCACTTTTCGCTCAAAGGAAGCTCGAATATTTGGAAGATTTCGGTTCTAGTGTTGAACTAGTGAGTGCTGCCTATGAACAGTATCATAAATATGGCAAACTTAGCAAGGAAAACCCTAAAAAGAAAGATGTCAAAAGGTAAAAAATGAATAAACTTGAAAAATGAAGAAACTTCTATATTAATTGTTTTTTTTTATTTTCCAGCGAGGCATCGTCATCAAGTAAAAAAGAAAAAACCTCCTCGTCTTCTAGTTCGCAAGCTAACTCGTATGGGTACAATTATGGAGGATCATCAGGTCAGACTTCATATCCTTATTCCGGTTCACAGCAGGGACAGTATAATTACGCACAGTATGGACAAGGTACTATTAAACATACTTCTTGATTAAAAAGACGTTTTGTATTAAATATATTTTTTTAGGTGATCAATACCAATACCAGAATTGGCAGTATCCCCAGGGAAGCTACGGTGGCTATAACCAATGGGGAGGGTACGGCAGTGGCTACAGTTATTAATAGAACACGTATTTCTTGTAAATTTGCATCTTTTTTTTATCTTCAGGTTTTTCTCTTAGGGACCCATATATTGCAAGTTTCGAATTATTATTAACTGAAATGTTGATGATGCACTTCAAATTCGATATGTTGTATAATAAGTTTTTATTTAATAAAGTCTTATAAGATATTTGTTTTTTTCTTAGCATGAGTTAGATGTTTAAAACATGATTTAGTTCAAATTTAGTTAATTTATTTTCAAAGTTAGTGATATCGTCACAGTGTGTGTGGCGACATCTGTCGGAGAAGTAAATAACCGCGAACGTGTATTGCTGGTTGAGGATTCATCTTTAATAGAGGACATTATTTGAAGCACCATCGCCATCGAAAATAGAATCAAAAGAATTTACTGGAACATTTGAATAAAAAGATTAAGTGGAACCACAGATTATCAACTTATCGTCAAAAGCATTGTTTTTCGTGGTTCCAATTTTCGTAGTCGCGCACTAGTTAGGTTACTAGTTTGCGCACATCGCACGCCCACTTATGGCCTTTAAAATTGTGCACAGCGCCTGACCGGCCCAGTAATTACGCTGTTTACAGGCGAATTTATTTTTGCGCACAGGAAATTTTACTTGTTTGCTCATCGTCATAAAAAACAATTTTCGTACCACGAATTAGGGACAAGATTTTTATCTGTATACTTATAGGATACCTAATCTGTGCTGGAACCAAAAAGAACGTTAGATAATTTTCGTACGTTCGAGACGCGGCCACTAGGACTAGGAGTTAAATAAGCGCAACCGAGCCCAGCAGTTTAGTTTGAAATACGGTTAGTTTTTGAATAGCGAATGTTGACAATTTTTTCAAATAGTTAATTGTGTCTTGTAATCAGTAAAAATGTGTGTATATAATGATAAAATACATCCGTTTTTTATGAACTACTATAGTTAATTTAGATATTCTAATGGCTACAATTCGAAGGTCGATATTCTTTTTATTATTTTGAATAAATTTTTCCCTATCCTGCTTTGATTTGTACTGCACACCACTGTTGTATGGCCATCTCCGTCTTTCTTTTCCTAAATAACTTTAAATATTTGATTATGCTATTCAAAAAATAAAATGCTATTCACATAGCATTTCATGCTAAATTTGCTAAAAAATGAAATGCTATTCACATAGCAAGTTTTACAGGTGTCAAAAATTATATTTTTTTGTCAGTGAAATAAATATATTTCTGTGAACAACTGGAAGAAGTTATACTATACAAAAAAACAATAAAAGTTTAAATATATATGTATTCACACTTTTTATTAACGGAGTTTTAATGTATAATTAATAAATTCATCTGAAAAATATTAATTGTATTAGAGTTCAAATATGATAAATCTTCATCTATAATTGAATATTTACTTATGTTAGAATCTTTCTGGATAGAGTACAATAGTACATCTACACTATACATAAGATAAACATATACAATAAGCTTATTATGTCTGGGCTACATATATCAGTAAAGTAAAATATCACATCAAAAATGTACAATTCAATAAATAAGAGAGTACATAGTACATGCATCGACCTCTCACGGTAAATTTGCTCAAATGAATCTAAACTAAAAAATACTGAGCAAACCACCACGACATCTAACAAAAAATAAATTATTTCCTAAAAAGATCAAAGAAATCCACATACTCAAAATTAAAATTCTCATTACAATAAATAGATACACAAATAAATTAATATATTTTCCTAGTTAGAAATAGAATAAAGGCTCTTTTACTTCTACAGAAAGAGAGATATTATATTAATAATAATAATATTAATTAAAATAAATAAATAACGTCTATACCTTTGTGGCGGGTTTATTTCACCAAAAAAGACTTCTGGCTTTTTCGCCACTAGAAGTTTTTGCTTTTACTATTGGGTTTTTGCTTCCAACGACGGGAGGAGATTACCTCCTGAAAAGTTAAGCAATTTCTGTCCGTTATGCAAATACCGTATATGATCGAAAAAAACGGCGTCCAGTTGCCTTGGAAATGACGATCGATGACACTTCTCATATAATTTTACATACAAAATGACAGCGATCTTCATTTCGTAGCCATCGCTGACGCCATTTTTATTCCATCATACGGTATGTTTTGTTAGAAAAATACTGCTGGCAAATTGCTCTCCGTTGGATCAACGCAGCAGGTCTACAAAAAATAACTACCAAATGATCGAAAAAAAAACGGCACCAGTAAGCTATGAAAGGACGATCGCTGACATTCCCTATATAATTTTGTATATAAAATGACAGCGATCATATTGTGTTTCATTTTGTAGATTTTATTTTAGTGGCGAAATTTACCTACAAAGCGAAAGTCTTTTTTGAAGAAACATTATTCCAAGAAATTAATTTTTCTACTTAAATGCTAATAAAAACCTAAAATTGAGAAAGGAAAATTGAAGAGTTAAATACAGAGTGTAAATAAATAAGAGCAAAAAATTCAGGACGCTTATTTAGATCTTTACATCTGTATAATATAATTTTAAAAAGATATACAGAGTGACTCACAGTCAAGGTAGGTCAGAGGTTTATATCACGTCACATATCACGTTTATGTAGAACCAGTGATAGGATTTTTAGCTAGTTTAGCCCTGCACCGTTGCGCGCTGATAGTCGTTTACAGCGCAGCGGATAAAGAATACTGTACCATAGTTCTGCTTTCAGTCGACAGAGTGGTTTTTTTTTAAATTAATGTTTTATGCGTTGGCCGCAGAACTAGTAGAGGCTCCACTGTACAGCACTTGAGACATAAGGGGAAATCAAATCAGCCTTGTCACGAATTTGCCCATTAGGTTGCGTATCTTCCCAATTCTTTCAATCAACGCTATAACGTTAAAAATAACTTATGTAGATGAGGCAAGTGCCTTTACTTAAATATCCAAATTTTCAAAATTCTCCATAAACGTCTAACCTCATTGCAGTGAAAATCACCCTATATAGTACCAAGTTAATTAAGTGCGTATTATATGTAATAAATATGTATAAATTACACCCTGCATATTGCGCAAGTTTAAATTAACTAAGAAACTGAACACTATAAAGGCTCAAACGCACTGACGACCAGGTTGCAGCGACCATTTAATTCAATGTTATTGTTATTACTGGTCGCAACTGCGTTTCCTAAAGCCGCATCCAATCTAGGCGAACAAAACGTTCGTGAACATAAATAATTAACGAGATATAAAGTGAAAATTGTGAGATTGGTAGATTTACAAATAATAAAGCAAACAAGAACAGCTAGCCTATTAGGAGCGCAGAGCGCCGAACGGCTAGTTTGTACGCCAGGGCGTGCGTCTGCCTGCATGCTAGAGCACGCGCGTTCTTTTTCCGACGGGTGTCGGTACATCAAAAGGAGTGAACGGCGTGCATTTCGGCGGACACTGTTGCGGACACTTGGAAGGGACTCGTTTAATTTCGCTAAATATTTTTAAATAACGAGTTCGAGTTATATACAGTCCACCGAGCCAATACAAATACGATTTGGGCATCTTTTAAGCGGCCATGAAAGGATACGAAAAAAAATGATACGATCAAATATATATGTTTCCAAAGTTCTTTGATTATAAATTAATAGTTTTAACAGAGTCTTGGCACTCTACATTGAAATTTAAAATGCTATTTTTATTTCATTGGAAATGTCTAAAATTGACGTATGATATGTCATTCTATTCAGAATGTCATTTTCTATCAAATAAATTAAAAAAGTACTGAGGATACAATCTAAAAATCCAAAGTTATCGTCATTTTCGGTGAAACAGGAAGCGACCGAAGGTAATATAATTGAATACGTCAATCAATCCCGATTTATGTCATATACTAACAAACCAAATTTCGTTGTATTATCTAAAAAAGTAAAAAAGGTGAGCCCCTTTTTAGAAACACCTAGTAGAATCGGCTAAAAATGAATAACGAATAATCTACCAAAACACGCCTGTGACACTCCGCCTGCTAAATATTGATTCAAGGACAAAAGTTCTTAAACTGTTTACCGGTTAAGTTATTTAAAAAAATGCTTGTCCTGTAGTTTTCTCACCTTTGCATCAATTTTGTTTTGCTACAGAGTTTCTTTTTTTTGTCTTTTTTTGCAAGCATCAGCCAATACAATAAACGCAGCTGCCGCAATTTATTATCATCGCGTTATCATCCATATTTATTTTTTCAACTCACATTAAGCCCGGCACTCGAAAAAACAGCGACTACCTAAACGCATCCCAGATCTATAGAGTAAACTGGTTGTCGCATTCTTCCCCGCACCTCAACCCTCGGGACCGTTATATCAGGTTATATCCGCTTGGACGCGGCTTAACATTGAATCAAATGCTGGTCGCTGCGACCTGGTCGTCAGTTCGTTTGAGCCCTAAGCTGGGTTTTTTAAATTCATATTGAACTATATATAATGACAAAGATTGCTTCCTCTTTCAATTTATGGAGATAAATAAATTAAAAATATAAACCAATTTCTACTTGCCAAATATTTAAATTAAAAAATATTAGTTTTAAAACTGGTGAACATATTTGTTAAATTTCTTTACCTATTACCTATTTCTTAATAAATATAGATATTATTTCTTTTTATTTTGAGCATCAAGGCCATTTGAATCTCTTTGTTCCAATTAAATATTGCATTATGTAATCTCATCAGTAATCACTGTATAATAGAATTGAACTGCTTAGAAAATAGAGAGAGAGAGAGTGAGAGAGAGTAATATATTGTTCTAGAACACAAATTTTCGAGCCTTTACTAGCTGTTTGAAGCTACTATTTGCTGTCTGTGGTATCTCCTACTTGGATGCAACACTTTGTAGTACAGCAACATAAATGTTATCCCCACGATAAAAGGTATAATGTTTAAATAAATAATTGGCTTGTAATATATAGACTGTCTTACTGCTTCGTCAGCATTGTAGATCCACATTATGTTGGCTATAGTGTTTTCAACAAAAAGAACACTATAGAACGCCAGGTATTTGAAAAAAGTCGGGCCTTCTACTAAAACAACCTAAAAAGTAAGCCCAGTATAATAAATAAATTAAACTTATCACAATGTTTCAATAAAGGTAATAAATTACTTTGTTCTGCATTTATCTTTATTAAATATAAACATACCTGGGTAAAAATGTAAACAGCTCCAAATATTGAATAAAACAAGAAGTCATAAAGTTTGTTGTGATCACAGAAATTATTGTCTGAACTTGTGACAGAGAGACTAATTGTCATGACAAACCAATGAAAAACAAGCACCAATATAGTTCTTACGGGATATATGGAAGCAATTACACTTATGCATAGAATCCTAGAAACTAGAAAAATTTATTTAGTTTTTTAATCTCAAAATATATAGATTCAACCAACCTGTTACTAAAAAATGCCACATAAAGTGAACAATGGTTGCAGGCCATGAGATATTCTGTTTGGTTTTTAAGGCCACTCTTAACAGTCTTTGGTAGGAAGCCATGGACCAAGCCATGCTAACAAAGGAACTTCCGATAGATAGAAGCTGGTGAACCACTAAAACCAAAACAAAGAAATAAATATATCTATTTTTTTTATCAACAAAAGGATTTAACTAACAATTATGATTATAGTGATAAAAGAACTCAAACTCTATGGATATTAAATTAAATAATAAATCACTCAAAATTTAGTACTTTCGTATCAATAAAAACTTACAAGTAAATGTGCCGATGATCTCATTACCATGGGTATAAAAAATAATTGTCAGTTGAAGTATCTGCTGAGGTGCCGCTTCCAAAAAACACTCAAGCACCCTCAGTAGGGCCACATCTGAATCCTCCCTAACCATTAGTTCGTAATATTTCCTTTGGTTCTCGTGATCACCTAGCTTTTCTGCTTTTTTTGACTTTATAGCATACTGTAAAGCATCAAAATATCTTAGTACAGGGGCTAATTGAAAAACCAGTACTAACACGCAACACAGGCTTCTTTTTGTACATTTTTTTGTTAAGGTTTTTCTGTAGTTGTTATCATGGTCTCGCATGTACATTCTTAGACTGAAAAATGTATTTATAACAGCTGGGATCAGGATAAACGCCACAGTTGTAATAAAATAACCGATGTTTTCGTTCACATAATATCGATAGGCTAAGTTACAGTCGAAAAACACATCCACAATGTGGCTGATGATCGATATAACAAAGCCAGCAATATCCCAATTTGTAACTCGATCCTTGGATGGCAGACGATCAATTTCATCCCTCTCGGTGTCATTGCACATCTTTTTCTGGTGCAGCACCGTCATTTGAAGTGGTTTCGTTAAAACAAGGCATTTAAGCTGGTTAGAGTAGACAAGGAAAAAAGTAGATTTGATGACTAACTTTGATCAATGACTTTTAGGATAGAATAACATATTTCTTGTACTTGCCAAACATTTTCTTACTTGAACTGATTCTATTTTCGATGTCGAGGCACTATCAAAAATTAATTCGCATCGACTGTAACAAAAATGAAAACAAAAAAAATAACCTCAAAATTTCTTCATTACTCTTGTCTTTGCTCTTGTCAGATCATTGTCGAATGTCACATCATTGTCAAATCTCTATCAGTCTCAATCATGTCTCAATAGTCTCAATCAAAGGTCTCAATCATGTCTCAATCTTCCCGTGATCTCCATCAAATCAAGATCAAATCAGATATCTGTGATCTGGGTCGTATATGTGTTTTGTGATCTGTAAGTGACCATCCCAAACCAATCCAATGCATCACATTCATGATTCAAAGCATCACTTTTTCTGTGATCACTTTTCCTGGAATCAAGGCCTGAAATATTCATATCACTCAATATTCTTTGGGAATATTTTTCTAGTAGTCTATATTGTCTATATTCACAATCAAGGGTATGGTTTTTAATACAAACACAAATACAAATAAGGGGTATAATTAAATAGGTATTTAATATTAATTAAAAAAATGGTAATTTAATTATAAAAGACGAATCTTAAATAAGTGCAAATATTTTCAGAGCTGGTAGGTAGGTAGATCTGAATAAAATATTTCGCCGTTTTTAAAATAATTCGAAAATATAGCCCAGTTATTTTACCTTGACAATTTAAACATTTTTTGTAAAAATTTTGATAACTAGGTACTAGATATCTTCTGTTTTTTCGTTCCTCTAAATTTAATCTACCTATTAACCAGATATTGTATTTTAAATAAAAATTTATAAACTATACAAAAACTTAGACGAACGTCATATAACCAAATATACAAAATTTTGAACATTTTTCACAGAAAACATTTCAGACGTATTTTTAGGACCAAAATATACCACTCGTAAAAACATCAGCATTTATTTAAAACTCACCCTGTATTATTTTCATTTATACCACAAACTAATTTTCCTCAACGCCTAGAAATAACCTCTACCACACTATTTGAACTTTGATAATTTTATTTAAAACAATATATTACAATATCACAATGTAAGTTTAATAAATGGGTCCTTCATCTAAATTATCATCCTCATCTTCATAATTCTCGCCATTATCAAAGTAGTTATTGGCATAATCAGTTCCTTCATCCATTTCTTCATCTGGTTCGTTTTCCTCTGCTTCCATTTCTTCTTCAAGCTCGTCTTCTGCTTCCTCTTTAATAACAACAGCATTTTTTAAGTGCTCCAACTTCTCCAACACATTAAGCCTTAAAAAGTTGATACATAAGCCTAAAATGGTATAAGGGTATACCTAATGATAGTGAATTTACCTTTCTTGTATATTAACATCAAGCTTTTGTCCACGACCTTTCTTAATTCTTTTAGCCAACAGTTTTGGTCTTAACTCTGAAGGAAAAAAATTCCAGTCATATTTTTCCTTAGTACTATGTATTTGAGCTACAAGTTTATCAATTTCTTGTTCTGGCTGATTTGACTTGCTGGCAAATGGAATTTTTATATAAGATGAGGATAGTTGCATATGATCTATAAAATCTCGTCGTAAAATTAGCATATAATCTGTCTCAAGAGAGGGCTAAAATTAGATATACATAAGTGTCAGAGTAAATTGTCTAAAATAATACATCAAACCGTAAATGGTACAGGTTTACGCTCCAATGGAGGGTACAGTGATGGAGGCTGTGTAACAAGTGAGGGAAGTGCATCTTTATTTCCTACACCCAAATCATTTAGCTGATCCCTAGTAAATGATTTGTTAGCAGCACCACCTGAACAACAATATGTAAATCAGTGACAAATATGGTTCAATTGGATTAGTAATTACCTCTACCACCTCTGCCTCCTCTTCCACGACTCATTATTAATAAGTTTTATTATTTCACTACTTGTAATTTCTTTAAATCCTCAGTTAAGCTCTGAATTTCGGTTTGTTGTTTTTCAAAGGCTTCCTAGAGCAAGGTAGATATTAAATATAAATTTAACAGGAACAGTTGTACTTACTTTGTCGTATATTACTCGTACGATTAATGAACAGCTAGGGCAAGTAGCTACTTCTTCGCCAGCAAGTAGTTCCTCCTAAAAAACGTGTAACAGACCATTAAAATTTTAACCTGTTATTTACCTTTGAAATTTGAAACCTATCGCCGCATGGACATGGGAAATAATAGATTTCGTCGTCTTCGTCGTATTCGAAATCCTCGATTTCAATTTCGTCGTGAAAAACACTCATGGTTTAGACAAATTCATAACGTAAAAATAACAGAATGGTAAAATAAAAAAAAATTATTTTGGTTTATTTTAAGCCCCCTCCTCCGACTTCCTATTCCCCTTCCCTTAAGTTTCAAAATTTGTCTTCTTTCTTCACAAACTCTTCTTTTTTCGGAAAGAGATGCTTTGCCTAGACTGCCAGGGCCATTCAGGCAAAGTACCTACCTTTGTACTTCAAAATCAAAATTTCAATGCACCCATGCTAGGGGCCGAATTCGAACCAGCAACCTTGTGTTTACTAGATGTTGAAGAGATGTTGCGTATCATTTCGGCCACAAGGCTGGCAGCTTAAAATTTACTTTAAGACCAGAAAATCTAAAAAGAAGAGTAATTGACATTTACTCAGAGATATGGAGAAAATTTTCTTTCCCCATACCACTGCAAGGCTCTGCATTGGCTTTATTCATGCGCGATCCCAGCGTTGCCAGAGCTGGTACATTTGTACAGATCTGGTACATTTTGGAACCGTTTGTACCAAAGTACATTTTTTACATTTCTGGTACATTTTTTAACAGTAAACAATTGATTACAACAATAATTTTTTGAATAAAAATCGGCAAATTACACTCCAAATATCGAAAGTTCAAAAAAATCGACAATTTTTCCCTTAGAATTTTTCCTAATACCGCTCATCACTAATTTCGTTTTCTACATCGCCGGTATCGCCCTCTATCAAATATAAGTCAAACTATATTCTGCCAACCCTACCAAGAATTCTTTTTCTATCTGTGGCTGACCGAGACGACTTTGACTGATATCTGGTACATTTTCGATGAAATCGATCAAAATCTGGTACATTTTTACCACAGAATAGTACAATTTTGGAAAAGTCTCTGGCAACGCTGCGCGATCCGGAGATCCGAACCGCGGCCGTCTACCTCCCACTGTCTCTGGGGGCATAAATTATATGGTTTTTATAGAATATGACTATTTTTAATAAAATACGGTTAATCAAAGTCATATATTTGTCTCTGGTCATATCAAACATATACGTATATTGATCATTTATTGATCAAAACCTGATCTAAACCAGAGAAATGGAAGGGATCACAACCAAACCAAACCACTTCCATATCTCTGATCTAAACTCATAATTTTCAAAATACCTCCCCTTCACGTCATTGACGTCACACTACTGTCACTTTCTTAAAAAATATGAAAAAGAAAGTTGATAGCTGATAGCAGTTTGATAGGGCTCTTGTTTTGTTTAAATCGAAAAGTTAGACGTTAATTATTAATTAAAGGACATGACCACGTAATTATCAAAACGTTCTCACATATAAAAAGCATAAAATGACGACCGAAGAGAAATTTAATGCTGCTGTAAATGTTATTCGCAGTTTGCCGAAAAATGGTAAGATTTTATTATTATTGGACTTTGTTATTGTTAAGTGCTTATGCTTATGGTTTTGAATAGGTATATTTTAATTATATCGATGACTTGTTTATATTTAATTCAGTAAAATGACAATAGGTTACAGATTAATTTTAAAGTTTTTTAATAAAAAACATTGTAATATTCATGTTTTGCCCAATTTTGAAATAAAATAAATATAAACTTATTATATTTTAATGGTGCATTTAAGAAAATCGCTTAGCTCAGATAAAAATATAATACCACATTGTGTATATGTTTGAAAATGCTTATTTAGCAAAGTGAAAGTGATAATTATACTTCTTGAACAAATTGCATAACAAACCATTCTATAAAATAACAAGGTGTATTGATGAAAAGTTAATTACTAATTTCTCTATGTTCAAGGTTCATATCAACCCAGCAATGAGCTCATGTTACGTTTTTATGCCTATTTTAAACAGGCCACCCAGGGCCCATGTTCTGGTTCCAGACCAGCCTTTTGGGATATTGTTGGACGTGCTAAATATGATGCCTGGAAAAAGCTGGGAGATATGTCCAAAAATGTAGCCATGGCTAAATACGTTGATGAACTTCATTCGTAAGATACTCTTAAACATTAAAAGAAAATCAAAAATAAGTATATATTCTGCGTTTTTTACAGAATTGTAGAAACCATGAGTTATTCAGATAAGGTAGCAAACTTTTTGGAAGCACCTACAAATGAGCTAGATTCTATAAATTTTGACGACTTAGAACTGGTAGCAGGAGATGTTTTACAACGTGTAAGATCTTCTCCAAACTCTCCACTAGCTTCTAGAGAAGGATCACCCATAAAAATACTAGCTAGTCTATCTTCTTCACGTTCAGTTTCTCCTAATATACTCTCTGAAGAGTCTGATGATGAATATATCGACACACAAGAGGTACTGATAATAATTACCAATTAGCAGTGTTGATAGTGCCATGTTTTAGAATCCAGAACCCAAAAGAATGATTCAGGAGCCCCCAGTCATTTCAAATGGATATGCAGGCCATGTCAGTCATAGACCTACACCTCAGATAGTGTCAACTGATATTTCCCAAGAAATATCCAGAACTGTGATGTGTTTAAAAGCTGATCTTGATAGGCTGAGTAGTCAGGTCTGTTTTTTTTTTTTTTTTATTTATAATCAGAAGTATACATTTTCTTTTTTACTTACAGGTTAAAGCTTTAGAGCAATCTCAAAAAGTCAAAAGAAAAAGTATGAGTAAACAATGGTTAATTATTATGATTATATGGCCAATTATAGCTAGCTATATTGTAAATAAAATGATGAGAAAAGTGAATTAAAAAAATTAATAATGTGCAGTTATAATACATATATCAGAATGATGTGGTGATTGGAGCTAGTCAGGAGATACATAAAGGCATTCAGAAACAAAGGATGTAACTATAAAATATTTCTTTAGGTAATATTATGTTTTGTTTAGTCTCTTATGGTTCAAATTTTTTTTTATGTACGCGTCTGGGAATTAAAATAAAATGTCGAGTCGACATTTAAGGTTTTATCTTTGATGTTATTTTTATATTTTAAATAAATTTATTTATACAAAATGTACTATGTATGTATATATAGTGTGGTTCGGAAATTAAATATGGTTTATTTACATAATTTTTGTTTCTATCTCCCTATGTAAATCATTTATATACTTTCTCCCTTCCTTTAAAAGCTAAATAAATCATGCTTTTTTAGAACCTGTATAACTGGATGCGTATGTATTTCTTTTGTTTTAGTGATTTTCTAAGTTTTTCCTCTAAGTTTTTCCTCAATATCAATATATACAGAATAATCTTTAAGGGATATTTCACATCAAAATAAAAACTGAAACGTGTTAACTGGCAACATTATCTATTTTCTAGCAACTTCTTGTTGTAAAATTTAATTAATATATAAATATAAAGAGAAACTCTAACAACGTCATAAATACAATAATATAAAATAGCTATATGCTCAGGTTGTTGTGGTGGTGGATCGTGGTATTGATTCGCGGGTACTCGATGTTTGGCAAATTGACAGGAAATGGACCTGCGACATTTCCTAAAACAAACGTCAAATAACAGTCATTCTACCAATTCTGTCAGAATTTTAACATTGCTAAAAACATTACATATATTACATAGAGTATTTATAATCTAGTTATATGATTGAAAAATTGAGGTGAACTTGATTTGAAAATCAAGTGAAAAATTTGAAAATCAATCATGATAGATGACATTCACCATAATTTTACATTATACAGTCGATCGTCCTTTCCAAGCGAACTCGGGCGCCGGCGCCGTGAAGAAAATGAAAAAAACACAATTATATTCCTTAAACCATTCCACTGTATTTCTTAAGCTTCGCTGAAACCTCGCACTTAGTGGAATAAATTAGAGGTTTCAACTATGCTTCATTCAGAACCTCACAATCAGAGGAATAGATTAGTGGTTTCAATTACATTTTTTTAATAGAATAGTGGTTTCAATTACATTTTATACTTTTTAGTTTACGATTATTCACAATGTTTAAAGAACACAATTAAAATTAATAGAATATCCTGGCAACAGCTTGCGTTAGTCAGTTGTTTCCATAGAGAAAGCCTAATATTTAGCTTATAAAACAATCAATTTTTAATTTCTAACCACAATTAAAAAGTTCTCTTGACTATCTCTTGACGGAGGACAATCAAAGGCCAATATGACATTTCTCGCAAATTTTGAAGTATAATTAGTGGGAAAGTTGAAAGTTTGATAACTTTTTCTACTAATTGAAAATTACTCCCACTAATTTTAACGTTCTGAATGCTTACATTGAAAATAAAGGAACAAACTTCTACGCTAATTGAAACCACTAATTTATCCCACTAATTGCGAGGTTCTGAATGAAGCTTTAGCGTAGAAGTTTGTTCCTTTAATTTCAATGTAGCATTCAGAACGTCAAAATTAGTGGACATTACAGTTGGGGGTTGGAACCTTTGGTGTTACACAGCAAAATATGTGTTGGTGATTTAAAAAAAAACAACGCTTTATTGTACAAAAAGCCAAAACAGCTTCATCGACAAAGCAAAACAAAAAAAAGCACAAAAACAAATATACAAATAATACAAAAAATGTCATACAATACAAATCAATTCAAAAAAAAAATTACGTCATAAAATTACAAATAAAACACATATGGTCATTGCAGAACACAGGCGTATCTAGAAAATTTTACAAAAGGAAAACTGTAAATGGATAAAATCATGTTATAATAACATAAAATCAAGAGTTATAAAATATTAAATACTAGACCTTTAACCAGTGTGTGAGATGATTAGAATATTAAAATTAAAATTCTAAATTGTTCATGATTAAACATCAACAAAAAAGTCGTTTACCGCATATAAGGCTCTCTCCAGTAAGTATGATTTCAGAGCTTTGCGAAATGCGGGAAAGAATGAAAGTGACTTGATATTCGAAGGCAAATGATTCTACATTTTCTTGGCATTGTACAGTATTGAGCCCTAAACTAGTTCTGAGCTCGGGGTTGGCAGACAAATATCGTGCTCCGCATTCCTAAGTGGATAGTTGTGAGAAGGCCTTTCCGGAATAGAGAATATGTGCTTGCGGATTAAGCAAACGGATTTAAAAATGAATAAGGAAGGAAGAGTCAGTATTTTGAAATTTTTAAAGAAATTCTGGCAGTGAGTTCTACTGTTTAGTCCCAATAAGTATCGAACTGCTCTCTTTTGAAGTTTGAAAATACGATCAAATTTTGTCGCGCAGCAAGTACCCCAGAATGGAAGGGCATAACGAAGATGCGACTCAAAAAGGGCATAATAGACCATTCTAGAGGTTGATGAGTTAAGTTCCTTAGACACTGATCTTAGCGCAAAACAGGCAGAGCTTAGTTTCTTTGATAAGGCTTCGATGTGCTTCGAGTGTTTTATTTTGTTAGTGGACATTTTCAATTAGTAGAAAAAGTTATCAAACTTATTCACTAATTATACTTCAAAATTTGCGAGAACTTTGGCCTGGAAATTTTTGATTGTTTTTTGTTTGATTGTTTATAAACTAAATATTATAGGCTTTCTCTATTGATATCACTGACTAACGCAAGCTGTTGCCAGGATATTCAATTAATTTTAATTGTGTTTTTAAACATCGTGAATGATCGTAAACCAGGGTTGGCATGATTTAAATCAAATGATTTAAATCGTGATTTAAATCAAGGGATTTTTTTAATTTTAATCGTGTGATTTAAATCAAAAAAAATAATTTTATTGAAACTTTATTATAAATCAAAAAATAACTGTAAAAGTTATAAAAATGTGTTCTAGAAAACTGTAAAACATATTTCTATAACAGGTATAACAGATAATAAATTGAAAAATAATTGTAAATGTTATAAAACTATATAAAATTATCTATTCATCAATTTAATTGTTGGACCGATTTTTGAACGTATTTCGTCTGAATCCATTAGATCGCTAAACGCAGGGATTTATTTTAGTTTTTAAAACGTAGGATATAGCCATTTAGAATAGGACTTTAACTGGAAATAACTCCTAGTCATTTGGAAATCTGATTTAAATATTGTTTTGAATTAAAATCAAAAAAATCTGATTTAAATAAAAAAAAATCTGATTTTTTTGATTTTTTTTAAAAAATCATGATTTTTTCCAACCCTGTCTTAAACTAAAAAGTATAAAGTGTAATTGACACCAGTAATTTATTCCACTAATTGGAAGGTTCTGAATGAAGCTTTAAACAATAAAAAATATTTGGTGCATTGCATAATGTTCTTCTGAAAGATGAACGGCACCTGAAAAAGTTTGGGAACCGCTGGGCTAGTATTTGACACACACCAAGAGCAAAACAGTTTCAGTCAAAAACGTTCATGACTGTGTTTTCATGTGATACTTCAATGCAAATTAAATAGGTTATCGCACACTGGTCAGTCAGGCTGGTCAGTATATCTGCTGTCGTGAATATTTGAATGTAAACAAAACATTCTGCTTCTCTTGGAAACATAATTTATTTATAAAAGACGAAAATGTTTTTGCCCATAACAAAAACATTTTTGATTAAAACAGTATTGTTCTTTCTGTGCGCGTCCCATCTTACTCGTATGGTCAGTAATCATCCGTAGTTCTCGTCCTCGCTAGCCCGCGCCTCCTCAAGTTTTCGTCCATGCGCAGCTGCTCGCGCTGCAGCTGCGTCCTGATCGAGCCCAACTGGCCCAACACGCCTCCCCCGCCGCTCCTACGTAGCTGCTGCGCGGAACTAAAGGGCACTGCGTTGCGCAGGTCCTTGGCCACGGGAGAACGCGCCTTCAGCAGCGTGGGCTGCGGTAACGCCGCTTCCTCAAACCTGGAGGCCGAGTTGCGCCTGGACAGCCTGGGGCTTTTGCGCAGGTCTTGTTGGGTGGCACTGTGGCGGCGCTGGCAGTCACCCAGCAGGGCGTCTGCGGTGGTGAGCGGTCCGTCGCGTACGCTCATCGTTTCCAGGCGGTGGCTGAGGGAATCAATGCGGCTAAGGGAGTCGAATCGGTCGAAACGTCGCTGGTGGCGAAGGGGTACGGTGTCGTAGGTCGGTTCTTTTCTATAAACGTTGCAATACGTGGAACTATTATATCTAAAATAAAAAAGGGACGTTAGTATTACTAAAGACCCTAATAAATATAGGGTGACACACGGCGATGGCACATTAGACGTTTATTGTGTACCACATGACATACTGTTACGGAAGCTTGAAAGGTACAATTTTAGTCTGGATAGTATTAATTTCATGCGTTCCTATCTTACTTCTAGAGTTCAGGTTGTGAGGGTCGGTGGGGAGTCATCAGCGATGAGTCATGTTAATATTGGAGTGCCCCAGGGCTCTGTGCTCGGACCAATTCTATTTTTGATATATATCAACGACTTACCATATATAGACTCAACATCTAAATTTACACTTTTCGCTGATGACACAACAGTGGCCTTCTCATCTGACTCATTGGAGGGTGCCATGGAGGGGAGTGAGGTAGTGCGGGGCCATGTTGAGGCATGGTTTTGTGCCAATAGGTTGCTCCTGAATCCTGACAAAACCAATAGGATGGTTTTCTCTCTTACGGACTTAGAAACAGCAAACGCAGATGTCCAGAGTATTAGGTTTCTGGGAGTGCAGATTGATCCTCTGCTTCTGTGGCATGAGCATGTTGATGAGGTTGCGTCTAGGCTTAGAAGGGGATTGTTTGCTCTGCGTCGCCTTTCAGGAAGTGTTTCCTGGCCTGTACTGAGGACTGCATACTTTGCTTTGTTCCACTCGATCTTGTCCTATGCTATTCTCGCCTGGGGACATACAGCCCAACTAAAGAGGATCTTCGGCTTGCAAAGGGCGGCTGTGCGAGTCTTGGCTGGGCTTGGCTATCGAGCCGACTGTGAAGAGGCATTCAGGGCTGTGGGTGTGTTGACTGTCCCGTCAGTATATATACTGGAAAATCTCCTTTATGTGAAAAAGAACCGAGACCTTTATAGAGTCCATGGAGAAGTCCATCACCATGAGACAAGGGGTAGGGATAGGCTTGTGCCAATCTACCACCGATTGACTAGGTGCCAAGATGGACCTGGGTACCTGGCAGTTAAATTCTATAATAAATTACCCAAGGAAATTGCGGACATGCCCCTCTTGCGGTTTAAGACTGAGGTGAAGGGCCTGCTGATGCGGTATTTGTGTTATTCCTTCCAGGAATTTTTAAATATTAGATTTTAGTGTTTTTAGGTTAATTGTTGATGCCATTATTCTATTTAGTGTTTTAGGGTTTTAAAAATTTTTAAAACTATTTAAAAATTAATAATTCTATCATTATCATTAGAGTTTCATTTCAAAAATTTTGTTACCATGATAATTTAAAAAATTTAGCACGTAAACTCTAATTGATACCACTTGATACTTATAAAGTTTGAATATTTGTCATGGTAACGATTTTCTTTAGACGAAACAATTATAATAGAATTATTATCTTTTAAATGGCTTTCTTGCAGAAATCAGAAGGTTTGTATAGGAACATTATATATCGTTGAAAAGCAATTTTATTTGGGTTTCGATTTTTTAAATAATATACATAGGGTTGAATTTAAAATAATAAAGATTTGAGCAATTTTATAAACGGAAATAATTATTTTTCTGACCTCCCTGTTTGATATCCAATCTGTTGATTTAGACAGATCGAATATGTAAACTTTTCTTAACCTACAAACCAAATTTTAGCTTTCAATATGCCGAATTTATGATATACCCAATGCTTATTTAAGATCATGTTTTTGTCAATTTTACACGTTTTATTTTTTATCTCGAAAACTATTAGAGATTGGTATAGGTTAGTATAATAGAAAAATTTTGAGATATGGAAATAGTTCCGAAAAATATAATAATATACCGGGTGTTGCATTTAAAATAACAAAGATGCTACTACTTTTAGTATAAAGCGGCAACACTGTAATGCTGAAAATAATTCAGATAGAATGAGTATGTGCCTTTAAGTAAAAATCCAAATTTTCAAAAAAATCACCTGTTCTCCATAAATGTCTAACGTGCCGTGATCGTGAATCACCCTGTATGCGCTTACTTACCTACTAGGGTCCGATAAAGAAAACGAAGAGTATGGAAGAGTTCTTCGAGCCACGGGCGGGGAATAATGCGCCCCTGCCCCTAGTCCATCTAGGTGAACACTTTCGGAATCCGCGTGGCGGCGCCACGGTCTTTGTAGCTCGTGCAATTCGGTTTTACGCCGCAAGAGGTCGTCGCTGTGCCTTCGAAACTAAAACATACCCAAATGGACCATGTAAGCTCTGATATCACGTCAGCCATGTTTATTCAGTATTTATTTAGGTACAAACTTAGATTTGCATATGTTTTGCCATAATTTGCCATAAGCCGATTTTAAACTACTAGTATACCGGGTGCGTCTCAAAAGTGGCTCACCTCTATAACATTTTTATCTTTTCAGATAAATAAACGAGATTTGGTATGTTTGGTCAAAGTTTCACCGGAAATGACTACAACTTTTGATTCTTAAATGGCACCCTCGGTATTTTTTATTCGCTAGAAAATGACACTCTGAATAGAATGACATATCATATGTCAACTTTTGACATTCTCGCTTAACCCTTTCAGTCACAACTTTTTATCAATATTCAGAAAATTCTGATATTAATTTTAGGAAATAATAGGCCAATTTTATGGCACTTTTATCAGTTTATTTTACCATATTGTTTTTTTCATGATTTATGACATGTCCATTTTGATGGACATGGTGACTTAGAGAAATTTTACCAGAAGAGACAAAGTGCGTAAAAAAACTCTAACCTTTAAAAAACGTATATTTATGTGAAATTTTTGTTTATAATACTTATTTTAAATAATATCATGAACTAGAAACCATGATCCTAGTTTTTCCTAATTATTATTAGTGAGTATGGAAATTAAGAAAACAGTTTCTGCCACTTACAAAACATAAATGAACATTACACTTTAGGCAATATGTTCTTGATTTTCCTTTACAATTTTCGAATTTACATCTCGTACTGTCTTTCTTGTCATCTACTTCAGGAAAATGTCCATAGTTGTCATACCTTTGTTCCGAATGTGGCCTTTCTTCGGTTTTTACTTTTTTATTGGGTCTTTGAGATTCATCAACCTCGGTTGGTCTTCCTCTTTTTGGAGGATCTTTGTGGAGAATTAGATGTTCTGCAATATTCAATCTAAATTCCCACAAATCCATTATTTTGTTGGGTCGAATTCCTAGTTGGAGTGCATGTTTTTTATATTCAAGCCATGAATTTGCTGCCGCCATATCCAAAGCATGTGTAATCATACGTACAGTCCATTTTCTGGAGCGTCGATAAGACCTATAAATACTCAATAAAAAATCTAATTTGTCAACGCCCCCCATATTTGCATTGTAGAGTTTTATAGACTCGGGGCGTACGACCTCCTTATAATTATTAGATGCCTTATCCCACCTTTTGCAAATATCCAATTTTCCTTCAGCAACAAAATTTGAAGCAACCAATACCGATTTATTATCAAACCATTTTGTGATAACTATACCATCCGTACTAATAGCAACATCAAAACTGCCTCTACCTTTCAGTTTTAGTTCTTTATCACTTGCCAGTTTTACACCAGCAAATCTGTTTATGCGTATTGTTCCTACTGCCATTATAGATCTGCTGTTTAGGTATTGAAATAAACTGTAGGTGCTAAAATAATTATCAAAATAAAGGCCATGGTATTTACCTTCTATTCTCTCGGCTAACTGCATAACAGTCCCAGCTCCTTGTCCAAATTGAGAATATATATCTTTTATTTCGGTTCCTGACCCTTGGTATATTATGAAGTCGTAAAACATTCCACTTTGGCCTGCCAAGATCCATAATTTGATCCCCCACTTTTTAGGTTTATTTGGAAGGTATTGTTTGATGTTTATTTGGCCTTTGAAAGGAATAATTTGTTCGTCCACACAAAGATTTGTTTCTAGTTCGAGCTCCAAACAACGGTTTCTAATCGCATTGTAAATGTCCCTGACCTTCCATAACCGATCTGGATTATCATCCCTTGCTGTGATATCAACTAAATGTATTGTACTGCGCAATTTGGAGAATCGGTTAAAAGTCATGTTATCTTTTATTATGGAAATACCAGTAGTTTGATTCCAGTACATTCTTGCTCTTGGGAATTTTAGATTTCCCATGACAATATGAATTCCTATAAATCGCTTCATCTCTTCTTTGCATGTTGGGAAAAATCGGGCAATATTTTTTTGGTTTGCATACAAATTAGTTTTTTCTGACATTTGCTTTAGCAAAGAATCTGGTATATACTTCATAAAAAAACTTATCGGAGCAGGTAATTCATGTATTGGGTCGGGTTCAGAAGTAAACCATTTGACCGGCCGTATTTGATACTGGACGCCGTATTTCCAAGTGATATTTTTCTTATCAGTGAAATTATGAAGTTTATAAAATTCTTTTCTTCTATTCGCACTTTCTTCTGCAGCCATATTTTCGTTTTCTTCATTTCCTCTTTGAGAGTTATTTTCATTTTCTTCTTGTTGTCTTCCTTGGTCGCTATTTCCATTTTCTCCTGTTTGTCTTATTTGGTCGTTTGTTTCACTTTCTGTTATCTCTTGTTCATGCATAATATCATCATCGAGTTCCAAGATATCATCGCCTAGATCGGAAAGGTCACCCAGGTTGCCTACATCGTCAAAATTATCTTCCTCGTCCGATAAACCTATTATTTCCGAATCATTGTCATTCAGTAGACAATCTAAAAGTTCTTTTTCTGTCAGAGGTCGCGCCCATTTCTTTGGTTTACTGGTTGAAGGTAAATCCATTGCTTATTATATTATCTGAAAAAAAATTAACTGCTAAAACCGTTAAAATTTGAAGCCTCTGTTTTTTGATTTATGTCATTATGTCCATCATGATGGACATACTAATTCAAAGGCCTACATCAAGACTTTATGAAACGTAATTTATGCATTATTTATAAAAACCGACTAAATTATAGTTTTTACTTACCAGCAGTAATAAACAAAACTCGATTTTACAAAAAACTTTGAATAATAACGAATTTTCGTGCAACACTGGCAACAGGCACGTTTGACAGCGCTAAAACCGAAATTATCATAACGCTTGCAAAGTCCGCACTACCCGTAATGGATGGCGCCACATGCCTTATATGCATTCTTTATGGATGTGCATTCACATGGACAAAGTTACTTATTTGAAAAGAAAGGTTTCTGGATTTATACAATTTATAGAAAATTAATGTCCACTGTAATGGACACGGTGACGGAAAGGGTTAATAAAAAATTGTATTTTAAAATTCAATTTAGGGTGCCATGGCTATGTTAAAAACACTAATTCTTCATCAAGGAGCCTTGGAAAAATAGATTCGATCGTCTAATGTTTTTAGTGTCTTGTCCTGGCCAGTTAGAAAATGCTCAAATCGTATTTTTAATCATATCTCTATTTTTTCAAATGGAACGAGGGTGGCTCATTAGCATACTTGGAAAAAGCATTTTTTTACAAATAATTTGATACCACACACTTGGTATTTCAAGTTAAATTTTTGTTAGGAACCGCAAGTTTTATTTCAAAAAATCATATGCGAATATGTCAAAAATTGACATATGATATGTCATTCTATTCAGAGTGACATTTTCTATCGAATAAAGTAAAAAAATACCGGTGATGCCATTTAAAAATCAAAAGTTGTAGTCATTTCCGGTGAAACCGGAAGTGACCAAAAACAATTGAATACACCAAACAATCCTGATTTATGTCATATACTAACATACCAAATCTCGTTTAATTATCTGAAAAAATAAAAAAGTTATAGGGGGTGAGCCACTTTTGAGACGTACCCCCTATATATTCTTAAAGTTATTTATTAATTCAAAGCGAGAACACTGATGCTGTATAATTTGACTAAACCGTAACAAAACTGGCCGCCTGACGTGACACTTTTAGGACACGATCAAATTTTGGGAAATAATGACGTCATCAGTGGCGTAGCTACGCACCTGCTAACTCCAGCAGCCGCGGGGGGCCTTCTGATATAGAGATTACCGACCGGTTAAAAATTGAGTTATTGAGTTATCGGTGCGAAGCGCCCAATGGTTGAAAGTTGCGGGGATACCCAAAATTTCTATATAGTTACGCCACTGGACATATAAAGGTTCAAGTTCGCTACAAGTTGCGAACAATTGTCTAATGATAATCACGGTTTAAGGTGTTTTTAAACAAGAAATCTATTCTACGGTAATCGCAAAACATTTTCCGATGCACGTCATCAATCAAATCGACTTTGACACTAAAGTCTATTAACCTGACTAAATGAAATTTTGGCAAAAATGTTTAAATTTGTTGTATAATTTAAGATATCAAGCATATCATCATTTTACTTTATAGAGCAAATTATTGCAACAGATATTTTATTTAGATTAAAGCTGCAAAAATTAGTTTAAACCGAATTTTATTATCGCTATGTTGGTCACATTGCGCCGTGTTCAGCAACGTTGTCGTTTATTATTTGGCAATTATCCTAATGTCAGTCATTATTTTGTATAATATTGTGTTGTTGAATCTTTGTGAGCAATTCTCGTTTTTTTGCCTATTTTCATAGCCTTTTTTTTTAATTGTACTTTTGTAGTGTATTAATATTATTACACCCTGTACATCAAAATAAAAACACTAAATCACCAAAACACTTTTACTTTTGCACCAGTGTAAAAGTAAAAGTGTTTTGGTGTATTGTGGTGATTTAGTGTTTTTATTTTGCTGTGTAACACCAAAGGTTCCAACCCTCAACTGTAACCCTGTACATAATAGTTTAGATATAAGTATTTCTTAAGTTAAGTTAATTAAGGTCAGTTTATATTATATGTTTAGAATTAGAGTTGTTTATATAATATTAGGAATGCAACTATGCATTATTGAATGTCGCGCGATATGCTAATTAAGGTTAACCGAATTTAATTACTATTAAGATTTACACAAGAACAGATTGTACTAGTTATTCGAAATAAAGTTAGTTTTTTAGATAGCCTTAGAGATTCCTTCAGAGCATGTAATTGCGGACCCAAATAAGAACATTACACTTTTAAGCACAAACAGTTCTTTTTAAGAACTAAATTTTCCAGTTTTTGCATGCATTTCTTGAAGTTGTGTGTTGAAAATATGCCGAAGCATTTAAACAATTGAGGTAAAGAGCTTGTAGCCTGATAAACTATTTTGAACCGAGAACGTGACAATAAAGGTCCTTTATTCCCCTTGATTGCAGTCAGAGAAGTAAGTTTGATTGATAAGCACATTATACCACTTTCAAAGTTATTTCTACGTTAGTTTTAATTAAATTTTGTGATTAGTTTGTGCATTAATAGGACCCTCTTACTTGTTATTACCACTTATAGCATTGTAAGATGTACATCAATAAATAAATAAATAACACATAATAATTAACCCAATAATCCCCATAATGGAGTAGTTTTTACAAATATGTAATAAGTAAAATAAACTATAAAACAAATAAATCAATTAATTACAAAAATATTAGTTATTAAATTAAAAATAAAACTTAAAAATCTTTAAAAAATGATATAATAAATATGTTGTCAATTTTAAATTAAGATTCGTCTCATAAATCCATCACAATCTGGCAGCGCTGTCGCCATCGCTTGTCAAAGTTGATTACGTACATCGGAAATTGTTTTGCGATTACTGTACTTCCCCACATTCAATGAGAGAACCGTACCAGTTCGGATCTGTGCTGACGCCTTTGCTCCTCCACTGCCTGTTCCTCCTGCATCCTCAGCAGCTGCTGTTCCAGCCGCCTGTTCTCTAATTCCCTCTCTCTGCGCTCCTGCTCGTCCCGCATCGACTGCAGCCGGCGTTTCTCCTCGATCTGGAGCCGCAGTTCACGCTGATACGCCTCCCGCTTCATCCGTTCCCGTTCTAATTCTTCCGCCCTGTCCGAGTAACTGAAACCGTCCATGAAGCTGCCGGGAACGTAGGCCGAATGGGACAGGTCGGAGTTATACCCATCTGGAATAAGAAAAAATAAAATGAATGGATATCCTCTAATGGGGGAATAGAGACACAAAACCTCACAATCTTGTATTAATCTTTTTTTTAATAAATAAGGGGGGCTATTAAAAAATATGATCACGATAAAATCTTTAAAACACATATTAATCATTCATTTTCTGACAATTTAATGCTCGTGTTTCTTGGATCGAAATATACTACCCCTAAAAATATTTGCACTTATTTAAGACTCACCCTGTATATAATAGGGAAAAATTGACCAAAACGTAAGGCAAAAAAATACGCAAAAAAAATCCACACGGGCCTCTCCTTACATTGCTACCCGGACCTCTGTCCTAATGCGACCCTGGATCGACGTACTCTACTAAAGAAATATACAAGTAAGAATCCGTGCGTTTCCTTTAGCGTGATCACAACGGAAATTATGGAGATAGCAGCATTTCGGTGACTATTTCAGATGAATGGGAGTTAGCAGATATTATTGAGTTAAAACAGCAAATTTTCTTTAATTGTAAAAATAATAATAATAGAGTATTTTTTTCTCTTTCTAATGGTATAAAAAACGTATTAATGTAAAAAATGGAGTTAGCAGGTTATCACGTTTCACTGACGATTTACTTTAGAAGTAGAAAAGTGTCTCTTTCAAGTCTCTAACTCATTGTGTATTTCTTTCAAGTAACGTCAATATTTGGATGAAAATTAGTGTGTAGGAGTTTTTTGACATGAGGAATTTGATTTTTATGTCAATATGACTCCTATTTGTAGAGGGCGCCACCTACATGTGTTTTAACAGCTTTGAATAGTAATAACTTTTCGTCCGTACCTCTATAAAACTACTGAGTAAAAAAATATACATTTACGACTTTTTTACGTAAAAAAGGTCTCTTGGTAAAAATCGCTACGAGTAATGGTTCTCGAGATATTTGGAATCGAAATTATCAATACCTGTCATCATTGACATAAATTAAGCATGTTGACTAAATAGTTATTACACTGAAATCATAGATTTGAAATGTTTTTGTGCCAAAAGTTCAATAGAAAGTGTTTTATCATAATTTTTTCGCAGAAAAATTTATGACTAATTTTAAAAAATAAAAATTTCCCAATTTTATTGTTTCAGTTAAATAACTATCTACTCGATATTGTATAGTTTTAGTCAATAACGACATGTATTGACTATTTCCATTCTAAATATCTTGAGAACAGTGGCTCGCAGAAATTTTTACCAAGAGACATTTTTTACGTAAAAAGTCACGGAAAAGTATATTTTTTACTCAGTAGTTTTATACAGGTATGGACGAAAAGTTATTACACTTCAAAACAGTTAAAACACATGTAGATGGCGCGCCCTACAAATAGAAATCATATTGATATCAAAAATCAAATTTATCATGTCAAAAAACTTCCCGATACAAATTTTTCATCCAAATATGAACCTTACTTCAGAAATTATTTGGAAAAAATCGAAATAAAAATGATACTTATACACCCTATACCTCCGACACTAAGCATTTTAGAACAAACATTTATATGAACTTTTTACTTATTTTAATCTGCAGATATGCTGCCGAAGTTTCCGGAATACAGTTCGGACCACCCTGTATATCGTATTCTATCACATTGAATATTTTTTTCTTGGTTTATTAATTTAAAAAACTGTTTATGTTTACCACGCTAAATTTTAAAACGATTAAGGGTGGCTGCAACGACGTCCAGTAATCCTGCTGTTAAAACATAACAGCTGGTTTTCATATATAAAAATCAATTGTTTTGTTTTAACCGCAGGATTACGGGAGGTCGTTGCAGCCAACCAAAATAACTTATAGAAAGATCTTCCAAAGATATAAAATTTTAAGGTTTTGGTAAAATAGATTGCTTTTTTAAAGGGAAAAGTAAATGTAAAATTTTTTTTATGATACCCTTGTTTATATATTAATAGTTAGTCAATGTGCCTGTATAAGTCGATGCTGCCAACTGGTGGCAGAAATTAAAACGTAAAAAGGGGCGGAGACTATTGAATTTGGCAAAGAAGTAGGGACTAGGAATTCTTCGAATTTAATTCTCGGTAAAGAATAAAATATCTTATCTGCTTCGAACCGAATTTATACCTCAAAGCGTTACTTACATTTTTTATTTTCGGATATGGATTTATCTTGTTGAATACTAAATTATTATATTAGGTATATAAATATTTTATTTTTAGATGGATAATTAAAAAAATATATGAAAAAATATATGAAACTATACCTACCTACCTCTGTAATTTTGTAAAATGTATGGCGGATTTAACATGTTTTTTTTTAAATATAACATCCTATTTTATTTTAGATCCTGCGTAAAATTATTACTTTTTTATGTATAATCCTTGTATAATGGTGTAACCTAAAACTAGTTTTATAATATTTCAATTTGTTGATGAAGAAAAAATATTAGATATTTATATGTAGATATTTAAGGCAGATGCTACAGGGTGTTCTTCCCGTAAATAAAGGTTAATATAAAACACATTTAATTTATGTTTTCTTTTAAGTAATATCTTTAAATCACAATATTTTGTTTATTAAGAAATTTTAAGTAAATTCACACCTGGATACGGTAATGTGGACATGGCAAACAGTTTGTGGCCTGTAAAGTTTTGCAACAGTCACAACAAGCAAAGTCACGATAGGCTGATGTGCTTGAAGACATTTTGTATTCGAAATTGATAGAACTAAATGATAGTATTGTTGATTTCTTATTACCTCTAGGACTGCCTGTCCTCCGGTTGGACAGAATACTCTTGGGCTTGTCCATGGCCTTCACCACCAAGTCATTCTGTTCGGTGGTCAGTCGTTGATCGACGTGAAGAGGTCCCTTTCGTAAAGCGGCATCCACCAACTCGTCTGTAACTGTTCTGCGACAGCTCAATGTACCGGGTTCACACTGCACCTAGTTTTAGTGAATTATTCTTATATTAAAGGCAGTTAAAGCTTCGCATAGTGTGAAATGCATGCAAAAAGTGAGAGATTAAGAAGAAAAATGAGTAATGTAATCTTATGCCCAACAATTATTGTAATCCTGAACTGATGCATTTTGAATAAAAATTTAAGAGAAAATGTTGTTTAATACCTCAATACCTCAAACTAACTTATATCCTTGTCTATATATAATATTGTATCATCTACATATACATATAATAATATAATCCATAATCATGGCTTATATATTCGATACCAAATAAATTTTTAGTCCCGTAATCACGAGGGCGCGATTTTTAAATGTATTGTTGCCAACCGTAGTCATATTTGGCGCCGCTGTAAAAGAGTCACATTGTAAACTGTAAAATTGTCACATTTATTTATTTATTTCCTAACATTGTCATTCGTTTTGACACTAGTTTTGTATGACTACGAGTTTTTGGTTTAAATGATTTGTGTTGTGATACTTTAAGCTTAAATTTTTTTACTAGCAGACCTTGCAGTCGAACATTGTTCTTTTTAGAACCTCCTTTAGTGCGAAGTGGTACAAGATAGCTTAATAGCCGTAAAAAAACTCGTCGCAACTTTATTAGAATATTTTGAACGGGAAAGTTCGTAGTAATGGCCCTTTATGTCCCTTAAGTGCTGCTAAGGAGGTGAGTTTTGTTGATGTAAATAATAACTGTTTATATATTTATAATTAATTTATTTTTGTTTCCTAAAATATTGCGATTAAAAGAAAATATATAAAAGTGGGCAATACTGTGCCGGTCAAGCTTAATCACGTGATTAATTTTATTTGATATGAACTATATATAAGTTAGTCTGTGTTCATGGTCTGTGTTAATACCATATAACAATACAAATAATAATACAACTATCATTGGACACCAGTTACAAATTATATAGGTACAAAAGCATCCTGCGCCTCTATTGTAAATGTGTATTTACATGATCAATGTGATAAAAATTGCGTTAGTAATTCCCATATTCCACTATGAATAAGCATACCCGGTATATTAACTTACTAATTTATTATTAATATTTTTGATATCTGTCTGAACAAATTTCGATGCAAAACTACGCTTCTGTGGTTCACTCTCTCGCTTAGTCTAGAAATTGCATTTAAAATACCGACATCAGTTTTAAGAATTAATGACTTAAATAATTAAAAGTTTAAAAGTAAAAAGAATCTAAGTTTAAAGAATTAATGGTTTAAAAGTATCTACTGTTGTCTTAGACCATCTATACAGTGTGTTTCAAAAACATGTGCCATCTACCGTGTGGGGATTTCTCGAGTAAAAATAAGATTTATTTTTTATATTAACATAAATATAAAATTAATAAATTATTTATTTAATCTATTTTATTGAAATACCAACAGCAAATTCAAGAAAAAAATAATGGTATTTAAGATAATTACAAAAGACCTATTTTTTTAAAAAAGTATTAACATCCTGTAACTTTAAAACTATGGATTTCCACACACATGATTATAGGAATAACTTTTTTTCAGTTTTTTTTTAGGAATCAATGAGTACACTGAGTACACACACAGTATTTAACGCTTTGGCCAGTATGCATAAAAAATGGCTGCTATCCCAGTGAGCAAAGTTTTGTCACATTTAGGGAACAGTTACGTGTCTGCGTTTTATCCATTTTTATCAGGCAAAAGGAGGGCCTGGCAATGTAACAACGACGTCACCTAGGACACATTTCCATTAAAGGAATAAAATGCTCACTGAGATCAGTCTTGCATTATGGCAAATTAATAAAATTGCGTTTATCTCATCAAGGAGATTGAAATCGACAAAATATCAAGAGACAATATTTTTAATCGGTATTAAATGACCTATGCTAAAAAGAGAAAAAGGTCAGTGTTAGAAAAATATACCAATGATAACCCATATGGATGTCCCTGAATCTGTCGATACTTTTTTAGCATTAAAATATGTGGCACTTATAGTAACTTTTACCCTCAAAATTTCATTCGAATCGCATAAATCACTTGGAAAAAAATTATAATCAAAAAAAAAATAAGACCTTAAACCCCCTGTAGCTACGAAAAAAAGCAGAATCGGACCTATGTTGATATAAGAAATAATTCTTATTTTTACGTGAAGAATCTCCCCACAAAAAATGGCACATGTTTTTTGAAATACACTCTATAATATCTAGAAGCCTCGTAGACGCCTGTATTTTTTCTTGCACAGGTAACCAACATAATCGCTATGTAATTTGCACTATAGTAACACCAAAGAGTAACATTCTTAATCTTTGGTAACGTAATATGAAAAACAAAGCCTTAAGTAATAATTTATGGGTACAACCTGCCCACATAAAAATTCGTGTCTAGAGGTAGTACATGATCTAAGATATTTGTCTGTTTTTATCACGCTTTTTTTTAATTTTGGAATTTCAATTGAAGAATAAGGAATTTTACCTCCGCCAAATGTCTGCGATAGTCCTCCCTACGGCGATCCCTATAGATGACGCTAGCGAGGTCATACTCGCCCAGGCCAGCGTGGGGTGCCGCCCTCAGACGGGCGTGATACTGAGGGGCAAACTCCCCCCTCCGCAGTACGGGGGCGCCAAACGGGGACCCGGATCCCGCAGCGCCGTAGCCGTATGCCCCATCCTACAAACCACAATCGACATTTCAACTCAAATCATAACGATTTGATAATGATAAAGAGATCAAATATGACACTGAAAATGAAATAACAAAAAACTATACCGGATGCGTCTCAAAAGTGGCTCACTCCTATAACTTTTTATTTTTTCAGATAAAAAACGAGATTTGGTATATTAGTATATGACATAAATTAGGATTGATTGACGTATTCAGTTGTTTTTGGTCACTTCCCGTTTCACCGGAAATGACTACAACTTTTGATTTTTAAATGGCACTCTCGGTATATTTGTACTTTCTTTCATAGACATAATGACACTCTGAATAGAATGACATATTATATGTCAACTTTTGACATTTTCGCATATGGTTTATTTGAAGTTGTAACATGCGGTTCATAACAACAATTTGACTCGAAACACCAAGTGTGTGCTACCAATTTATTCATAAAAAAATACTTTTTCCAAATATGCTAATGAGTCACCTTTGTTCATTTTGAAAAAATTGAGATATGATTAAAAATACGATTTGGGCATCTTTTAACCTGTCAGAACAAGACACGAAAAACATTGGGCGATTAAATCTATTTTTTCCAAGGCTCCTTGATTAAAAATAAGTGTTTTTAACTCATCCATGGCACTCTATATTGGAATTTAAAATACGATCTTTTTTAAAGCGAAAATGTCAAAGGTTGACATATGATATGTCATTCTATTCAGAATGTCATTTTCTACCAAACAGAGTAAAAAAATGCTGAAGGTGCCATTTAAAATTCAAAAGTTGTAGTCATTTCCAGTGAAACAGAAAGTGACAAAAAACAATTTAATACGTCAATCAATCCTAATTTATGTTATATACTAACATACCAAATCTCATTTTTGTATCTAAAAAAATAAAAAAGTTATAGGGGTGAGCCACTTTCGAGACGCACCCGGTATAGAGATAGCGACACATTAAAAAATAAATTTCTATATAACATACCGATCTAGATGAAAAAGGTATTTCAGAATTCGAAAGAGCGTCTATTAGGATCCGTTTCTCTTGATCTCGAGGGTTAGCATAGCCCCTGGTCCAATCCAGAGGCCCTACTGTTGACGGCACTTTCTAAAAAGAAAAATAAGCAAAATTTTTCGAACGCCAGCTGTTTCTTTTTAATTTTTTAAGTGTCTAAAAACATCATTCTCCCTTCTACCAAAACGCCAAATATCGATTTTAGAGACTTTGTGACGCTCTATGCTCATCATTAATCACTTCATTCAAAATCAGTAGCTTCTATTATTCACAAATAATCTTCATAGATTTAACGACTTTTTTTGTTATTCAAAGTCTTAGTTCAAAGTCCACACGAAAAATCACATCTATACACGGAATTAAACAGCGTTCCATGCATGAACAAATAAATTATTATTAAAAACAGTAAAATCATCAAAAGAAAATCTAAAACGCTTACCTGATTTATCACAATATCTTTCTCAAACTGTTCAGGCTTTTCTTTAATTACTTGTCTATTATCTACCTGATTTTCTTTGTCATTTTCCAATAAATCCTCGTCCGCAACACTGCTCTTAGTGTTTTCTGTATTTTTTACCTACAAAAACACCATATATACGAGAATTCGTAGTTTTTTAAATTCAAATAAAAAAAGTCGAAGGAAAACGTTTTTCCGTGGATGGCAGTGAGGAAAATCGGAAATGAATATGATCTTGTTTTCTGGGGGAGGTCGCGACCTCCCAGTGTTGCCAAGTTTTTCAACCCCCAAGATTTATACCAAGTAATAACACATTCTTGCATTAAAATAAATGAACAACTTTAAATTAACCATACATCTTACGAAAACAAATACTCCTGAGCCAAATAATTAAAAAATATTTAATAAACACACATACTAAAATATGACAGCTTTTTATAAGCATCCTAATAATCTTTTATCCCTGATATAATTAGGTATTTTTAATATTACTACTTATTATATAAAAAGCTTCAAAGGCAGAAAATTCTATTGATGTTTAATAAAAATGTAAGATAGGTAAGTAGTGTATTTAATGAAAATCATTGAAGCGTGGCAACTAGGTAGGGACAGCCGTCGCCAAAATCCCAGGGATCAATAATAGGGACCAATAAGGACAAGGTCACCGGGATAGGCCACTATACATAAAAAATTGATTGTTTTTTCACTAGTCTTTTATTTTATTTCAATAGACATTAGAAATTTTGACAAAAACTGTAATAAGAACTATCTAATAAAGCATACCCTTTATTGTGCACTAAAATAAATTTACTTATAAAGTATTTACAATTTAAGTATAATCAGTTTAAACAAGAATATACAGTTTAAACAAAATATAGTCATTAAAATAAACGCCAATTTAATACAGTATTCAAACCTGTGATTCAAACATTAAGTTGTGTTGTAGTTAAACAATACAGTTGTTTAAGGTCATTATATTTAAATACAATGCGTCGAACCAGAACAATGAAAATCTACCCAGCCAGAAATCTTATTAGAAAACAATACATATTAATAAATTTACCAGTTCATCCAGGTCTTTAAATGTGCCCCCATTTATCGAACCGAGGAGACCTAATCTTTTTCTATCTTCCAAAATAAGTAACCTTTGTTCTTCTAATAGTTTCTTTATATCACCAGACATTATCCACCATAAAAAAACTAGAAATTAACTCATTCTTTAGTTTGAATTTAAAAAAAAAATATAAATTTAAAAAACTTCTAAGTTTGTTTCACAGGTTTGTTTACTTGACTCAGTGCCTTCTATTAAAAGATCAGCCTACGGGCGAGATTTATGACGTCACGCTAGTTAGATATAACGGATTAATAAATATATTGTAGAATACATGGAAAACATAATTATTCCTCAGATTTTTGGTTTGTATTTTAAAAATGATATAGTTTAAATGAAATATACATAATATACAGTTAATAACTACAACATATATACCTATTTATAGTAATAAATACTTTGGCAAATAAACTATGAACCATACAAATGCAGCAAATGTTTTACAATGTACAAATAATGTATAGGTACATAAGATAATGGGTAAAATGTAAATATATTTTAAATTTTGGGGTTTGAAAATCGATCTAATTTAACAAAAACATTTAATATCTACTAATAGTGATGTATTATTATTTGCATTCACAAAATTTATATGTATATTTTGCAAGTATCAATGTTCGAAAAATTATATTTACAAATAATACAATATTATCTAAAAAAGGCGTCAGCGATGAATTTATATGTTAAATTATTCTAAAATTTTGATTTTCTTGGGATTTTTTAGGTTCGGGAAAAACGCTGATTAAGTTTTCATTTGTTTTCATTATTTTTATTTGGTTTAAAAAAACGTTTCGGCTAACTATAGCCTTCACAGTGTTGTGTCATATGAGAGAAAAATCGTGTCAAATATAATCCAAAAATTACATATACAATATAATTCACACCTCATAATGTTTACTGCAATTAATAAACTAATATAAACTTATCAAAAGATGACCACATATTTCTTAAAATTATTATTCTTAACACTAAAATTATCTACATTGACTATGGAGTACGCAGTAAACATTATGTGCGTGGTGTGAATATTTTATATGCAATTTTTGGATTATATTCGACACTATTTTTCATATGACACAACACTGATGGAGGCTATAATGTTAGCGAACCGTTTTTTTTAAACCAAATAAAAATAATGAAAAACCAAATGAAAAATCAATCAGCGTTTTTCCCTAACCTAAATTCCAAAAAAATCAAAAATTTAGAATATTTAGAATCAAGGTTCAAGAATATCAAATTTTCCAAGATTGTAAAATTCTAGTTAATTATTTTATGTGTACAGTTATTTAGAGAATGTCATCGATGTTCATTTCCAAGCCAACTAGACGCCGATTTTTTTCGATGATACGGTATAATTCTTACGTAAAATGTAAATAACATTAGACCAATTAAAACAAAGAAATATGAATTTCTTAGTATTTTTAGTAACACCTTTATTCTTAAAACTTAATTTTGTATTATGCAAATATACCAATTTTATTGTTATTTTATTCATATTGTATTCAGCCATCACTTAAATATTTGATATTAATTTGGTATTATAAATAATCAATACTATTCATTAAAAATTACTGAACAAATATATGTTATGCTTAACATACATTATATATTATCAATCAAAAACACATTCTTCTTTTAAACTGTATCAGTCTTGTCTTTACAAAAATCTTTTTTAAAATTTGAACTCAAAATAATAATCTTTTTCATGATCTCTAATACACATATTCTTTATTTTTCCCTAGATCATAATACCTATTTACCATATATAAACCTATCATACATACCTACCATCATGGGAGAATATTATTTTTAAATTTATTAAAGATATTTTCAATAAAATTATCTTGATTTATAACTCGTACCCACTTTTCTTGCTCTTCCGGACACTTTAGGCTGCCTAGTATAATAACTATCCTTAGTAACTATCCTTTCCACCAGGAACACAACAAAGATGAGGCATAGCACCAAAAACACACTCCACTTAAGCTTTATTGATGAATTGTTAGAGTCTTAAAGACACACACAAAAATCACGATAAGTAAAAAATGTATGGGCACTTTTAGGTTAAATCACTTACACAACGTGTAATTTTTAAAATTTCTATTTTTTATGCGAAACCGAGAGTGACCATATATCTGGTAGTAGTTTATGTCACTTCAACACCAAAATAATTAGTTTTTTGCACTACAATAATAAATAATACCAAAAATCAAAGAGTTAAAACCAAAAATCAACCAACAAAATATGAAACGGAATCTAACCCAATATCTAAGTATGTACAGCTGATGAAGTAAACAAAAGTCCGCGCCTAGGCTGATCTTTTAATAGAAGGCACTGCTTGACTGCAATAAAATAAATAGCACAAAACACATACACAATAAATAGTACAGAGTACATTAGTTTGTTTCATTCTTTTCACGTTTATAAGAAGAGAACAGAAAATTATAAACGTCAAACATATGTCAAACTCTTCTTTTTTAAATTGTGACCCCGAACCGAAAAGGAGTGACTTTGAATTTTAACCAATCACATCACTATCTTTTTAACGTTCATTTTTGTTTCTGGCCAACCAAATCCCTGCTTCTCTTTCCTGACATTTATTATTCGTTAATTTTGAAAAGTTCCTAAAGTGTATCTTTAACGTGTTATTTTAAGACTATAGTTTATAGTTTATAAGAACATTATTGCAAAATGAGTTCAACGTGGGAATTAGTTTTAGTGGAATGGGTTTGTAATTTATATTAACTTTAAGCTTTTTTTAGAATACCTTATTTACTTTTCAGATTAACTGCCTCAAGCTTTCAAAAGTTATACAACAGTTAGAAGATTTACATGATGGTATTTTCTTTTGTAATTTACATAAAGTCATGTAAGCCCGTTTAGTTTATATGTTTAAACGTATTTTATTTCGTGTTTCTGTTATTTTGTAGAAAGAAATCGACAGACATTTCTCCTGATGATTTAACTTTCATTTTCGACTTGATATCAGTTCATTATCCTAGGATTGAAATAAAGGACAAGGCTAGTGTTCATGTATCAGACTTATCTAAAGAGGATCTTATTCATATAACTTCTTTATTAATGCATTACACATGTATTCATGATAGACGAAATGTTTTAACATCTCCAATGTGTTATAACTTGACATCACCTACACAGGTGTACATAAAAAAGTTTTTAGAAAAAATTAGTATGCAAGTATCAACTACAGAGTTACAACAAATTATACAGAGCATTGTTTCTGAAAATACAAATAAGCAGCGTCAGTTGTTCGATGTTATTAGTACACCTGTTGCAAAGAGGAGCCCATTGCAAGATATATTGAAGACACCTGCTACAAAAACAAAAAAGTTAGAAGATAGAGATAAAGAAATTGAACATTTAAGAAGAGAATTAGAACTCGAAAAGTATGACAAAGCTGATTTGTCTGATGATTTAAAAAAGCAAATAGAAAAAAACGCAAAATTAGGTGAGTAAATTATAATTTGTTCTGTTTAATTTTTAATAAATGGTATTTTTAGAAGCCAAATTAAAACAAAAATGTTCAGAAATAAAGAGATTACAAGGAGAAGTTGAGTCATTGGAACTACGTACTCCCCCTCATTTTCAAGATGTTGATTCCAGACAAACAGTAAAGCTTCTGAAAATGGAGATTGAGAATTTAGAACAGTATGTTCATCAGTGTGACCGTGAATATGAAAAATTAAGACAAGAAAGGGATATAGAAAGAAATAAGGTAAAAAAATTGGAAACAAACTCTACAATGTGGCAAGAGAAGTTTTTTGAAATTGAAGAGAAATCGCAATATTATTCTGAACACTTAAAAGAATTAGAAACCAAGAATGAATCATTGACAGCTCACTGTGTTGAATTGGAGGCTCTCCTGGAAGAATATAGGTGCAGGTCTTCAAACAGTTTTGAAGAAAGTATTGCTCTATCAAGTCGAAGATCAAAAAGTTTTGAACCTTTACAATCATGTGAAGATTTAGCTCAATCTGTTGTGGATATTCAACTGAAAGAGACCCAAATAAAACTTGCGGAAGCCCTAAAAGACTTAGAAGAATCATTAACAGAAAAAATGAAAGTTCAAGAGGAAATAAATTTGTATAAGTTTCAAATCATAGAATTAGAACACAGTTTTGAAAAAACAAATTTAGAAAAAAGTGAGGTAGAATTGAAATTAACAGATGCATATAGTGAAAATAATAAATTACTGATTGACTTAAATTCTCTTGAATTGTCTAAAGCAAAAATTGAGAAAGAGTTAGAAGAAATGGCAATGCTTTTGAATGCAAAAGCAATGAAATTGAACACTTGTGAACAGGAAAAAAATAAAATACATGAAGAGCTAGTTACACTTAGAGAAAATTTTGACAAAATTACATTAGAGAAAAATTGTATTGAAACAGAATTGATAGAAGCAAAATGTAGACTAAAAGATGTATCAAAAGAGCATAAAAACACTCAGGAATTATTAGAAGAGGAAAAAATGTTAAAAAATAAAGCCAGCGAAAATTTACAAAAAAATATTCAGGAATTGAAAGAAAATCATGAAAAGTTTGCTAAATGCCAAGAAGATTTTAATGCTGTTAAATTTGAATTAGAAAAAGAGAGGAAAAATAAGATTGATATTGAAAACATCTTACAGCAAACAAAAAGTAATTTAGATGAAACAAAATGTAAACTTAATAAATCTGAAACATTAGCAAAAAATATTTCAGATGAACTGGAAAAAGAAAAAATAACAATAGATACAATAAACAATAAACTAAAGGAGACTAACAAAGATTTAACAGAAACCCTAAATAAATTGAAAAACGCAAACAATTTAATTGAGAAAATCACAGAAGAAAAAACAATTTGTGAAAATCAACTTGATCAATCCATAAACAATGTTTCAAAATTGACTGGGAAGCTTGACTCCTTGGAGAAAACTTACAAAAACATGCTAGATCAGGAAAAATCAAACAATAATATGTTGGATGAAAATTTGAAGAGGGTAGGGAAAGAATTAAAGCAAGCTGAAAATGAAATAATTAAAAACAAAGAACATTTAGAAAAAAGAGAAAAACATTTTGAAAACTTAATCAAAGGTATAGAAAAAAAATTAGCTGAAGCTGAATCGACTATAGAAAGTTTGAAAAAAATACTTGATAGAGTGTCTGATGACCTAGATAAAAAACAAAATGAAAACGACGATTTGACAAAAAATCTTTTAGAGATTGAAAAAAAAATTAAAAAATCAGATTTAAAAAAAGAAGAGCTGGAACGTGATCTGTCAGAGACAAAAAGAGTACTAAAACAAACGAAAGAAATTCTAGCTCATAAATCTCAACAGTTGGAAGAAGAAAAATTAAAAAACAACATTTTAAATACCAAATTATACGAAGATGCGAAACATTTAGAAGATATTGCTGTGAAATTGGTTGAAACTAATAAAATCCTTGAAAACCATGTTGTAGAGAAAAACCAACTCACTAAACAAATAGATATAGACAAAAATAAATTAAGGAATACTTTGAACTCGCTTGATGAACAAATGGCTAAGAGGGAAGAAGCTCTTCAGAAATTAGAAGATACTGAGTCTGAATTAAGAGAAACTAAGGAATATCTTGCAGATGCTAGAGAGAATTTTAGTAGGTTGGCTGAGGAGAAAGATGAAATTGAGTCTCAGTTGAATAGAAGAATTCAAGTTTTGCAGGAAACTATTGTAACATTAGAAGAATCTATAAGTGTTGCTTCTGAAGAAAATAAAAAGGAAAAAATCGAAAAAGAAGAGATTAATAAAAAAATTGAAAATATATTAAAGGAAAAAGAAAAATTAGAAAAAGTTAAATTAGAACAGAACCGAAGTCTAGAAAACATTAAAAATGAAAATTTATTAATCATTAAAAAACTTGAAGATACAGAAAGCTCCTTGCAAGAAACTCTTAAACAGAAACTCAAAAATGATGAAATTGTAAACCAGAAAAATAAAGAAATGAAGGAAATGATAGAAACCTTTGAGAAGTCAAAAAGTTTGTTTAATAACGTTTTGCAAGAACTACAACAGAAAATAGTTGACAACGAAAAGCTCCAAAAAGAATTATCCGTTTGTAAAAATGATATTGAAGATATCAAACTGTCTAGTTCTTTGGAACTTGAGAAAGTTCAGTCTGAGAAGGATTATCTTTCAGTTCAATTGACTGATCTGAAAATAAGAATTGAACATAATACTAATGAATTAGAAGAAATAAAGAGTCAACTGAATTTAAAGGAGAACTCTTTGAAGGAATCAAAAGAATCATTTGAAAATATATCAGGGAAATATGAACAAGAAATAACAGAAAAAGAAAATCTACAAAAATATTTGCTGCAATATAAAAGTGACATTGAGAAGGTTCAATCTGAAAAAGATTGTTTTTCTCTTGAATTAGCTGATTTTAAAACTAAATTAGATGAAAATACAGTTTGCTTAGAAGAAGTGAAAAGTCAACTAGTTTTAAAGGAGGAAGCTTTGAAAGAAATGCATGTAAATTTAGAAGAAACACAAAAATTTTATGAAAATGCTCAACAAGAAAAAGAAGATCTAGCAAAAGAGCTATTGTTATGTAAAAATGACTTTGAAAAAATCCAGTCTGAAAAAGACTGTATTTCCTTTGAATTAGCTGATTGTAAAACTAAATTAGATGAAAGTACAGTTTGCTTAGAAGAAGTGAAAAGTCAACTAGTTTTAAAGGAGGAAGCTCTAAAAGAAATGCATGTAAATTTAGAAGAATCACAAAAATCTTATGAAAATGCTCAACAAGAAAAACAAGATCTAGAAAAAGAACTATTGTTATGTAAAAATGACCTTGATAAAAATCAGTCTGAAAAAGAATGCCTTTCCTTTGAGTTAACTGATTTTAAAACTAAATTAGATGAAAGTACAGTTTGCTTAGAAGAAGTGAAAAATCAACTAGTTTTAAAGGAGAAAGCTTTGAAAGAAATGCATGTTAATTTAGAAGAATTACAAAAATCTTATGCAAATGCTCAACAAGAAAAAGAAGATCTAGAAAAAGAACTGTTGCTATTGCAAAATGACCTTAAAAAAAGTCAGTCTGAAAAAGAATGTATTTCCTTTGAATTAATTGATTTTAAAATGAAATTAGATGAAAACATAATTTGTTTAGAGGAAATGAAAAGTGAACTTAGTTTTAAAGAAAAAACTTTAAATGAATCATTTGAACGTGTTTTAAATGAAATTCAACAAGAAAGAAATGAGAAAGAAGACCTACAAAAAAAATTGCATCAATATAAAAATGACCTTGTGATGGTCCAATCCGAAAGAAACTCTATTTTAGTTGAATTAACTGATTTTAAAAATATTTTAGCAGATAAGAGTGCATATTTAGAAGAGATAAAAAATCAACTTGAATTAGTATCAGCTGATAAGAATACAATTGAAGAAAAACTCAAGTCTACTGAAGAAAATTTATTTAAAACGAAAACTCAGCTAGAAGAATACATTGAAGAAAAAGTTCACTTTGAAGACGTTGTTTGCAGTCTCAAAGTCGAAAAAAATGAAGTTGAAGAACAACTTAAAGAGACGCGCAAAACTTTAGCAGATTTGCAAGTTTTTTCTGAAGACCAATCTAAAAAAATAGAAAAAATATCATTGATTTTAACTGAAAAGGAGGAAATAATAAATGAGGCTGTATTGCTTAGGAATGAAATGGAAATAAGATATGAAGAAGTTGTAGAAAGTTTAAATAATTTGAGACAGGACTATCAAGAAATTTGTGAAGAAAGGAAGCTGCATTATTGCGAATTAGAAGAGACAGCCAAAAAGCTGGAATTGGTTGAAGAAAAAGCATTTGAAGACAAATTCGTCTTTACAAGAGAAATAAGTGAATTAAAGAAGAATGCAGCAGACTCAGAAAAAGTATTGAGAGAAGTCCAATCCAAATTGGTTGATTTGGAATCTGAAAAGAACTATTATATAGCGTCTTTAGAGGATATGCAAAAAAATATTGTAGAAAACAATGGACTTTTAAACGAGACCTCTAAAAACTTTAAAGAAACTCGGGAGAACTTCGAAAAAGCTTCTGAAGAGAACAAAGCTCTCTCAAAAGCTTTAGAAACAACAACTCTTAAACTTGAAGAAGTTGACTTACTGAAGAATAAAATAGAGGCAGAAAAACGGAATGTTGACGATGAAAAGAGGATTCTGATCAAAACCTTGGACGAAACTGTCGAAAATCTCACGAAAATGGATAAAGATCTGGAAGAAACTCGACGTAAAATGAAGATGATAGAAGAGGAAAAGACTGTCATATCGAATTTCTACAACTTAAACGAGAGTGAACTGAGAAAAGTGACTCAAGAAAAAGAACAAATTCTTGAAGCCTTGGAAATGAGCAATAAGGACAAACTCGATCTTATGGAAGAAAATAAAGAAATTGAAAACAGGACGGGCGATTTGGAAGTAAAAATAGAAGAACTGCTTCAAGAAAGGAACAAGATTGTATCTGATAAAGCGGAAGTTTTGGAAAACCTTCAAAAAATCATCAAAGAAAAGGAAGAACTTTTCAGCGAACTGGCAAACATTTCTGCATCTTTGGCCTTAGTTAAGAAAGAAAAAGATGCACTTATGAGTGACTATGAAGATTTAGAAACGGTTTACAAAGAAACCTGCGAACGCAAAGATAAAGAATTGGAAAAACTGAGACTCAAACTTGCGGAACTAAGTAAAATAAATGAAGTGTTAGAAAGGAAGCTTCATGTTGTTACAGACGAAAAAGAAAAAATGATTTTAGCTGTAGAATTAAGTCAGAAGGAAGTGCTAAAGATCAAGAAAGAGCGTAACGAAATCATTCACTCACAAACTGAGCTCATGAAGCAGACAGAATCCAGTATCTACAAGGCTCACGAGACCGCCGTTGCAGAAAAGAAAGAACTTGCCACGAAAATTGACAGATTAGAAAAAGAATTGGAAAAATTAAGGGAGGCGTATGCAGCAGTGGTTTCTAGCAACGCCAAACAAGAATCTGAAAGTGTTAATTTAAGGTAAGGTTATTTCTTATAAACAGTATTTCTACGCCTTCTGTGACATCTTTTTTTTTCATCGAAAAATTGTTATATTTTGGTTATTAGGAAGATGCTAGAAGAGCGAAACAAACAAATTCAGCAGTACGCCGGTTTGAAAGATGCTTACGAAAAGCTGTTGGAAGAAAACAATAAGTACATGACTGATATTGACACTGTCAAATTTAAGCGGTCGAAAGACAGAGAAGAGTTCTTGAATCTTCTGAAGAAGGAGCGTGAGGAGGCTGAGGCGAAACAGAGCAAAAAGCTGAGAGAAGTTCGGGCAGAATATGAAGAAAAATTGGCTAAAATGAAAGACAAAATGGTGTGTTTCATGATTTCGTCCATAAATTTTACTGTATAGATCACCTCTGTTTTATTTTTAGATCAAATTATACAGGGAAGAGGTGAACAAGGAGATGTCCAAATTTAAAAGCGACCACAGTGAAGTTGTAAGTAAAAAGTAGTGATGGGTTGTTATTTAACTATTCTGTTATTTTATAATAGTTATTTAGAAATAACATAAAGCAACCTTTACTACTATAAAATAACATATATAAAATAACGACACGTGGAGATCGACCGCTCGTGATACGAAGTCGGCGCTCTGCATCGCCACGAAATTCTGTGCGGCTCGAAGCAATTCCAAAAAATAACTAGTATGAAAGATCTCAGTTAATTTTGACAACCATCTATAATCGGTTCGAAGGTCGATGGTCGTGTTGGGCTCGCAACAGCTAAAAAATAACGTATATAAAATAAGCAGCTTTTTTAACTAGTTGCCATCATAACGCGTGGCGGTCGAGATAACCGGAGTGGGAAAGTAACGCTGCTGAAAATAAGCAGTTGTTTGTTATTTTAGAATACCTGTTAAGAGCTTAACAGGCGACGTCGGTCGAGACATGCGGAGTTGGAAAATAATAGCTTTTCGCCTGTGTCATTCGATCGCGGTGTACGGTGGCGTTAGAATTTAATTATTTAATTTTTAATATACAGGGTAAGTTTCCTACTATGTTCTCTATGGGTATCTCGGAAACTACTGGAGATAGAGAGTCGGTTAAATGGGGAAAGAATTGCAGTTTTGTGGGGTCATAAATATGCGCCTATCAGATTTTTGAAAAAGTGTATGGCTTACTAGATATTTTGAAAAAGAAGAAATTTTGGCTATTTTAAAAATTGTCCCTAATTACATTATAATCTATTTTAGACAAAAAGTTTTCAGATAAAAGTTGTAGATAATCCCATCCCTAATGAGTTTGTGTTCTCCGATTTTTTCTAAAGCCTGTCATTTTTGACATATGACAGAAACATGTTTTTTTTAAATGGAAACCATAGTTGGCCATGACTTCCATAAAAAGCGCCATTTTTTAAGCATTTCAGCGATATAAGCTATAATATGTTTCATTCAAAAAATTACTGAGTCATAGCCAATTCTTATCTTTCTTGGCTATTTTATTTGCCTATCAGCAATAATGATATCAAGAAATTGTAAATGTTGATTAGAATTTAGTGATTAAATCAATTAGAATTTTGGTGATTAGAAATATTAAGTGCTTTTCAACTTCTTAAATAAATAAAGACTGTCTTAGCTAATTTTTTTAATAATTTTCCTCATTATTAATAATATAATGAACATTCTACAAATTAAAACATAGTATGATTGTTACATTATTTTTTATTAAGAAATAAATATGAAATTTTTTATGATTTTGCTACAATTTGGACAATGTGTATGCTCTTTTAGATGTTTAAGATAATATAAAAAAAATAACAGAAACCTGTTATTTTAAGCTGTTATATATATGTAAATAACAGTAACAGTTTCAACTGTTATTTAAAAATAACGGTTTTGACCACCACTATTAAAAACGTATATAATTATTTTTCTTATTATTTTTTAGACCTATCTACAAAAAACTGTTACTGATCTAAGAAACGAACTTTTCGAAGCTGAGCAGAAAATTAACATACTGCATGCGGAAAAAGACGCAACCAAAGAATCCTATATGGCCAGGTAATGTTTATTTAGTATACTATAAGTATTAAGGGAAACATTCTTTGAAATAGAAAATATTCTTTGATTTAGAAGAAATTATTTTACAGAGAATATCTGCCAGTCGTTCCATCGTTTGAAAGAAACGGTCCTAAACACTCTATTTCTAACCTGAGAGGTAGAGGCAACAAAGTCGCTGACAGGGACAGCGTCATTAGTGCAGCGAGCCTTCCCAGGGAGAGCTACATCAGGTAACAAAAAATGATTAAAAAATATGAAAACTGAGATTAGTTAAAAATTATGTGATAATTACAGAGATCAGCTGCAAAAACTAAGTAGGACTTCAACTGCTACATTGCCTGCTAGATTACACGCTCCTGGTGATTATGTTGAAGAAACCATAACGATTTCTAGAAGGACGTCCATTAATAGTATAGGTAAATTAATATTAGCCAAATTACCCGTAACATGAGTCACATATTATAGTCAACTTCTGTTACCCTATAACAGAAGTCATAATAAAGTAGAATGCGGGGGGCTTAATCACCGCAACCTTACAGATCTATTGTGTATTTACCCTTTCTTGAGTTATAACGACTTATAACTCATCATACAGTCTCAGGACTTTACCTAAAGCCAGTATCTGAGACGGCTCTACAGAGGCCAGCTCTCCATCTTGGACATCAGCCGTACCAAAGTTCATGGCATGAACGGTCGTCTCCGTCGTCTCGGCACCCTCAGTGATAAGTTGCGATTCGAGCGGTGGGAGCGACGTGTATTTATCAAACAACGTTTTCTTACGAAGCTCTCCTAGGTAGGAGATGCGCGCGACTAAAGCGGCATCAGGCGATTCAAATATGTCGCGCGAGTCGCGTTCATCGCCCTCTGTTGTCGCACGCGTCGCCCGCTCGCTTTTGTCTCCCACGTAGGACGATGCGTAAATAGTTATTGGACTGATATCATAAATTTGAAATGTTTTTGTGCGAAAAATTCAACAGAAACTGTTTTATCATAATTTTATTGAAGAAAAATAAAAAGTTCCTAAATTTATCACTTCAGTCAAATAACTGTCTACTCAGCATGTTTATTTTTTATCAATAATGATATGTATTGACTACTTCCATTCTAAGGGTAAAAACATAGTGGAGCGACGAGGCTAGAGGCACAGCGACGAGGTAAGAGACAAGATAAGCGACGCGACAGGAGACACGTACATAGTAAGGAGACAAAAGTTGCGATTTATTGCTCGACTTTCCAAATTCAAACCAGCATGTACAATGTTCTCCGACAGTGTTACCTTTTATTCCACATTCTCTAGCCACTTTTGCCCAAAGTTCGTCTAATGCATAGCGGTTTCTTTGGTCTGGATGAGATGCATTCCATAACGCACGCCTGTTGAATACGGATGATATTATGTTATGCTCAGCCATTGCGAATGATAAATGTTGTCTCTATACCAGCAGTACTCCTACTTAATGATACAAGTCAACTGAAAAGACCACACGCATTCCAGCGTCAACGCGACAAGAAATCATATTTTTATCTCGACACGCATCTCCTCGCTTGTCTCGTCGCTTGACGCTTCGGCAATCTCTTTACTATGTTTGCCATTACAATACACGATCAAATTCAAGTCGCGACGCTTACCTCGTCGCTGTGCCTCTAGCCTCGTCGCTCTACTATGTTTTTACCCTAATAATCTTCAGAACGGTTGCTCGTAGCGATTTTTACCAAGAGACATTTTTTACGTAAAAAATTACGGAAATGTATATTTTTTTCACTCAGTAGTTTTATATAAGTACGGACGAAATTGACGAAAAGTTATTACTCTTCAAAACAGTTAAAACACATTTAAGTGGCGTCCCCTACAAATAAGTCATAATGACATCAAAATCAAATTTCTCATGTCAAAAAACTTCCAGACAACAATTTTCATCCAAATATTGACGTTACTTCAGAAATTATTCGGAAAAAATCGAATTAGAAATGAAATTGTACTTATTTTTATCTGCAGAATATGTTACCGAAGTTTCCGAAATACAGTTCGGACCACCCTGTATAATATAATAGCTAAATACAAAAGTAGAGGATTGGATATCCTATTGCATGGCCGAATAGCCCTGGCAGCTCAGGCCGTTAAACTAAAATACTACTACTATACTGTTGTATATTGTATATTATGTTTTACGTCTGTTACATAAGATTCACCATAGAGATTCACATTTTTTCATATACGTATTATTTACAAATATACTCAGCCTAATCTCCAAAAAGTGAAGCCCAAACAGTGAAAGAACAATATGGAATTCTGCATAAGTCTATTTCACCCGGATATTCATTTAACTGAGCATGCCTCACCTGAAGAAGTTTTCATTGGTCGATGTTTTTAAAGGGAAGTGGTTGACTGACATTTCACACCTAACCTTCAATTTTATTTATATTTGTATTATTTATAACACATTATCATGGAGTTGGAAAAATATCAACAAATAATTGGAAACAATAAACTAAACAAAATCACTCTTTTACACGCACAAATAAAAAGTAATCCAAACAGAACTAAAACAACAATCAATCGGAGTTTGGCGCAATCGCAGTTCAATCCATATCCGGGTGAAATAGACTTATGCAGTTTTAATATGGAGCTGGGTTATGTTGTCTTTTTCTTACGGCACAGAAATTGCACACGGGGTTAAATAGGGAACCCTGAGTATATTTCTAAATAATACGTATATGCATTTTTTAGCCTATTCCTGTAACCTATAACAGGAGTCGTGTCATAATAGTCTACTTCTGTTACATTATGTTTTTATTACCTGTTACGCTTTTATTTGACTCCTGTTGCATACAGGGTGGCCCATTAGTGCGAGAAAGTCCAATACCGTCGTCGAAGATTGAAAAAAAGTTTTATACAAAATGTTGCTTAATTTAGGGGCATACCCTAAAATTATTTTCTTGTATAGAGGATTACCAGAACAAAGTTATGATAAAATTTTAAGTTTTTTAGCTGCACCCAAACAAAAATTAAGTCTTAAGTCTTCACCAGTTACACATAACGTGGGTTATTCAAATGACCAAGTTATACGGGGTGATTCCTGTAAGTCGGTCATGCTTTCGAGGAATGATAGGGGACGTCGAAATATTAATTTTGATATAGCACACTATGGATCAGAAATGCCTCTTACGCAAGATACAGTTTTTTAACAGTTGAAAGTATCGTTATAAAATTTTATTGTAGGAGTCTGCCTAACAGAGACACTTTAAATGTAAAAAGAAGAGGTTTTAGTTTCAACCAGTGGCGTAGCTGTGATACGCATCGGCTAATATTTTCAAAAAAAAAATAGTACGCCACTGATAAAAATAAAAATTTCGGAGTTTTTTTATTTACTCGGTTTATTTCCAAGAAAAAATGTCTCTTGTAACTTTCTTTTATCTAACACCATTTTGTTACAATTTAAAAATATTTTTTTTTATGAGAACCTTAAATATGCGAATTATTATAACTACTACCTCAAAACTACGAATTTTATTATTAACAATAAAAAAAATTCTAGTTTAATTTATAATTTTTTAAAAATTTATTTAGTGCTAATAGTAAAAAGTACTAAAGTTACCCAAGATGAAGGGAGCTACGATGCACATGTGTTTCTGCCCTTTAGTTATAATAATTCGCTGTATTTAGGATTCTCATTAAAAAATTTATTTATTTTTAAATTGTGACAAAATGGTGTTAGATAGGAGAAAGTTGCAAGAGACATTTTTCCTTGGAAATAAACCGAGTAAATAAAAAAACTCAGAAATTTTTATTTTTATCACTGGCGTACTATTTTTTTTTTTGAAAAAATTACCCGATGCGTATCACAGCTACGCCACTGGTTGAAACTAATACCTCTTCCTTTTACGTTTAAAGTGTCTCTGTTAGGTAGATTCCTATAATGAAATTTTATAACGATACCTTCAACTGTTAAAAAACTATTAAAGAATATCTTTAATTTTTCAAAAACTTTAACACCCTCTATCTTGCATAAGAGGCATTTCCGACCTATAGTGTGCTATATTAAAATTAATATGTCGACGTCCCCTATTATTCCTCGAAAGCATGACCGGCTTACAGGAATCACCCTATATACTATATATAAAGTTGTTTTTTTATATATGTTTTCTCTTGGTTTTAGGTCAATAATAATTTTCCTTTTATTTCATTAAGTACATTTATTTTTTTATACAGCGTCTTACGTTTCGACCATTTTTTTGGCCTTCATCAGAGTCCAAGAACGTAGATCATAGAAGGAAACTTTATAAAAAACAATCACGGAACACATTTAACAGGACGGTTGCGAATTTTCAAACATATTTTTTAATTTTACTATAGGGCCAACGACCTACATACAATAACTCCTAAAGTTGTTTTTAGGACGAAATTTGGAAATGGAAGACGAAGAAGACGACTTTTTCAACACGAAGTACTTGGCAGACCTGAAAGAAGGCCGTTGTATAACGCAGACAGGTAAATATTACACAATAAGCTGTAAATGTATGTTTTAATGTTTATCAATATTTGAAGGCCGTGAATCGAACGTTAGCCGAATGTCAGAACTTGCATGGAGGAACTCTATGGTACCGCCCCACCTAAAAAGCTCGTATCCCGCAGAAATGCAGTTTGTCAGCCCATCCAAGTTCAAAGAAGACGACATTAAGGTTCGGTCTTCACTTTAATATAAAATTCCAGGCAATCTCTAAATAATTATTGTCATTTTTTAGAGCGGGAATGTCGAACTGGACGACAGCCTCAGTAAACTACTTCCTGGTGAAAAACAACAGCAGCAGCATCGTCAGAAGAAAGAAGTGGGCACGACCACATACAAGAAGCCAGGACCACCGACACCCAGTAAAAATGGTGGAAGATTATCGTTGCAGGGCAACGAAATTCAGCCTTTGAAAGAGACCAATCACCAGTCACCCCCAAAAAGGGTATGATTTTTTTAAATGTTTTATTGTTTGTCTAATAAAAAACAAATTTTAGACAACACCCAGCAGGATAAGAGCCCTTTTTATGGGACGCAAAGAAAACAATGGTATTGGCAGAGACAACGTAGAGGTAACCCATTTCTTTCTGTGTTCTTACTTTTGTCTACGGTGTTGGTCTTGCTTTTTAGTTCAACAAGTCATTGTTTTCCTGTTTGCAGGAATAGACTTGTTCCTGTAATGGTACATCTTTCTTTTTTTTTTTCTAGTAGTGAGTAATTTTTATTCCATTTTCTGGGAACTTTTTTGGGCTGCTTTTTAACGGCATGCTTTCTGCATTGTTTTAATAATAGAAATATTTTTTTTATATTATGAATATTGTTTCTAGAACGTGACTCCAAGAGCTTCAAAACGACTAAGCATCTTCAAGAACAAGAAATAAAACTTTTGCTTCTATATTTTAAGCTTCTTGTACATTTTTTATATTTATTACTTAAAGATTGTGATCTATTTTTCTTAATAAAACAACGCTTTTCGATCACTATAGCTTTATTTTAACACCGAGTTAACTTAACAAAAACATATAAAAAACAATACTATTTAAAAATTTTAAAGCATATTTTTAACAGAGTATAAATATATGTATACATTTATCTACTTCTAATATTAATATTACACATTAAGGAACAAAATTAATACTTTTTTTAATACTAACATAAAATTAAGCCCAAACCTAAAATATATAAGCCAAATTATTTAAAATAATCTTTATATTATAAAAAAAATGACTCACTCTTAATGTACAGTCCCAGGAACCTGTTGATAAAGCAGTACCATCAGGCGATACTTGTAAACAGCTGACTCTATTTTCATGACCATACAACAACCATACCCTAACACACTTCAATGTATCCCAGACATTCACAGTATAATCATTATAACCAGCAAATAATAGTCGTCCTAGACAGTAAAAATATTTAAAATATTATCTTCAATATATTCGATTTTAACTTTATTTTTACCTGAATGTGAAAAATCAACTGAATTTGCTCCAAAAATAATACTGTCTTTACTGTATACCGCTATCTCTTTGTCAGCTCTTAAATCAAACAACCTGCACTAAAAGAATAATAAAGAATATTAAAAATATTTTGTAACATATGAATATGCTTTACTGTAGCGTCATCTCCTCCAGTAGCTACTGCATCTCCACTAGGATGAAACTTTACACTGTTCACATCAGATTCGTGGCCTTCAAATGATTGGACACACTGTCCACTGCGCATATCCCAAATTAGAACCATTTTGTCCACACTCTAAAATAGATTCAATTTGAAATAATCCATAAAAAACTATAAACAATGAGTTATTACTCCAGAAACAAAGGTATTGCCTGTCTCAGATGGAGCTAGATCAATTGACATAACATCAGCGGAATGTCCATGAAAATTTTGAAGCAATTGTCCAGATTCTACGTCCCATAGAGCACACGTAGAATCGCCACTACCTGTTAGTATCTAAAAGTATATTTAATATTCTAATACTAGATTTAATTGAATAAATTTATTACCTAGTGTTATTAATACTTAATTCGTTATGTAATTCATTATTATGCAATTGCACCCTAACACAGTGGCGTGCAGTGCAAATCAAAGCAAGTTTGACAAAAATTGGCAAAATCAAATATACGCAGAATAGCATAAGTAATTAATATTAGGGAGTTTTCGTTGCTTACAAATTGCAATTCCGGTTAACGCTAATTGACAACTTTGACATTTCAATTTCGATTATCGTATATCGTAACCGCTAGCTGCCGATATTTTACGGACGTTAGCCAAAGCCGTTAATATAGCGGTACGCATGCGCACTAGCGCAGTAGAAACACAACATTGAAAAATACAGATCTAACCCAACATCATTCTATTTTGTTTATGTTTTGATTATTTATTTTATCTGTGTTAAACTCGTTGGGAATTCTTAGTGCTTCAACTAATCGAGGAATGTCTTTTTTTTCAAAGCTGAAGTTAGCTTTGCAGTCTTGGTCAGATAACATTTCTAGGTTGAACTCCCCATAAAGTTCTGCTCGATATTCGATGTTGTTTTCAAACCCTTCCAACAGCATAGCATCCTCCAAATCCGATTCATCACTAGAGTCCAATAAAATTAAATTGTCCATCCTATATAGCGATACCCAATAAAGTCATATAAAGCACTTTCAAATCAAACAACAATACAAAAACCAAAAATCAAAACACTACGCTACGGGCTGTGCTTAGCTGTCAGTTTTCGGTTATCGTATCGTATGTCGGCTCCGAACCGATGAACCGAAAGTCCGAAAACTGTTTTTTTATCTGTCAAAATAGCGGTTATGGTTACGTATCCGTTAACCGTACCGTTGAATTTTTTTAAAGCAACGAAAACTCCCTATTGTCAAGGTATATAGCGACATCTGTCGGAGGAGCGAACAACCGCTAAGCGTGTTTTTTTTGCCAAGAAACGTGGCGACCTCTTTCGGGGAACTGAACGGTGCGCCATGTCTTAGCCCACGGCCACACAGAAAGCGTTTTTAGCGTTTTGCATTTTTTGCGTCTCAAGCGTTTTTTGCGATTTTACCGTTTTAAGCGCTTTTTTCGATTTGTGTCCATTAAAAACACGCAAAAGACGCGGCAGGTCTGCAGTTTCTATCAAGATGTCAATTTAATAACGTCGCAAGCTCGTGGATTCCCGGCCCGTCCAACAATCAATCCTGTGAGAAAGAGACAGACGAGATCGGCGCCGTTAGCGTTGAAGAGACGAAGATAAAAGATGCTGGGATTGAATTGTGGACGGGCCGGCGCATATATTCAGAGACAAACACAATCTACTGCTAGTGCCAGTGGTGTGTGTAAAAATAATAATTATTATTTACCATTTTATTTGGAATTTTAGTTTATAAGTGTATAGTTTTTTATGTTGTAGTGTTGTGGTTAGTACTTGTTATAATTATAATATAATAAATAATTATAATTATATAATAGAATAGTAAATATTTCTAGTTGCTAATGCAATCTTAGGACATGATTTATGAAACATTTTGGAGTAACTTCTTTACGCGCGCTGGGGGTAAAAATTCAAGGCCGTGACATACGAGCTAGTGAGATGGCTTTGACACACGAGCTAACGAAGCACGAGCGAAAAATACGTAGTGACGCGACGTGTATTTGTGAGCAGTCCACGTGTTTATCAAAAAACATTTTTTACGTGTAAAAAACTATTTGTCACACGTAAAAAATTATTTGGTAAAGGTGTGGATCCGGTGGCTGACCTTGAAGCCCATATTTGCTGCATTTGATCATCGATACTACGCAAGCGCACATCGTCGATGTTGCCAAATTGTAGTTTATTTTCGAACTATTTGCAGTTGAAAATTTTTTTTTGAGTGTTAATCAATAATAATACAAATTCTATAATTAATTTTATAATTTCAGATTTATCTTGATATCCAAAATTAAGGATAATGAATATTGTGAAATGAAAGTATATGAATATATAAAATTGTAATAATAACAGAGATATGAAAGTGGTTGAATAATAATAACATTTATTTATATATTTACATTAGAATTAAAAATTACCATTTACGGATTTTTTCTTAATAGTTTTAAACTTATTAGAATTATTTTATTTTTTTCAAGTTATTTAATTTCTAGTTATTTACAGACAACAAAATAGTTTTGATTATTATTATATATGTATTGATATTTTGAAATACTACCATGACGAGTCTTATAATAGTACAATACACGTCAATGGGAGATAGAGGCAGATAGAGGTAACATATTGTTACGGATTCCGTGGGTCCACTAATTTAAACTCACGATAAAATACTTAACGAATTTATTTTCTCGCTTTATACACAACTACTAACTTATAACACACAACAAACTAACTATTTATAAGATTCCTTCACCAAATTGTCCGATTTTCAATTTTCACGCGGTATATTCAAATTTCAAAAACTGTCTCAGTTGTCGATGGCTCCGGCTTATATACTCTATTGACTGCTTCTCGAAATTTCCCCAATTCTCGGAAAGCGTACTTCTTCATACCAGACAATTCCATTGTCTGATTCCTCTTACTTCTCGACTTGACTAAAATATGGCGCCTGAAAAAGTCTTTTAATTTCTGGCGGATACGCCATTTTTCTTGACACGTTGCGGTTGTGCACGCAACCAGTAATACATTTTTAATTTCTGGCGGATACGCCATTTTTCTTGACACGTTGCGGTTGTGCAGGCAACCAGTAATACATTTTAGCCCTTGACCTTGACATTGCCCCCTTCTCAAATTTGATCGTCCCGATCAAGGTTTCCTGTCTGGTATCTCTCAATCGATCCAGATGAACTACTTTCATCTTACTTCTAGGGCTGCGTTGAATCCGGTACACAACATCATTTATCCTCTTGATGACTGTATAAGGACCTTCCCATGCTGGAGTTAACTTTGGGGACCTCCCTTTCTTGCGCTGTGGGTTATATAACCATACCATATCGTCCTGTTGAAATCCCGTAGAATTAGCTCTGAGGTCGTAACGAGCTTTCATCCGGTCACTGGCTAGCGTAATCTTACTTCTCACGGCCTTATGAATTCCCAATAACCTTTCCTTCAGTTCATCCGCGTAGTCCTCTACGTTCGTGGTGCTGTCGTCTGGTGATCCGAACACCAAGTCACAAGGCAACCGTAATTCTCGACCAAATAAAATCTTCGATGGTGAAAGTCCGGTGGTGTTGTGAACTGCACTTCTATATGCCATTAGGAATAGTGGTATATGCTGATCCCAATCTCTTTGATGTTCATCCACCATTTTCGAGAGATGTTCTTCAATGGTCTTATTGAATCTCTCGACCATCCCATCAGACTGCGGATGTAAAGCTGTTGTCCTAGTCTTGTGAATACCAAGCAGATCACACATCTTCTGGAACAGTCTTGACTCGAAGTTCCTTCCTTGGTCAGTGTGAAGCTCTAAAGGAATTCCAAATCTACTGAAGACATTATGACTAATACTTCAGCTACAGTCGATGCTTCTTGGTTTGGAATGGCAAAAACTTCTGGCCATTTACTGAAATAATCCATCGCCACTAAAACGTACTTGTTGCCCTTGTGCGTTTCAGGGAATGGGCCTGCAATGTCAACAGCGATTCTTTCGAATGGCAGTCCAACGTTATATTGTTTCATTTTTCCCCTAGATCGAGTGCTTGGTCCTTGGCTGGCTGCACAAATTTTACATTGTCGACACCATTTCTTGACATCTTCGCAATAATCCACCCAGTAAAAGCGATCTCTCAGCTTGCTCAAGGTCTTGTTTACCCCAAGATGGGCTCCAGTTTTACCACCGTGAATTTCTTCCAATACCTGGGTAACTTTCTTCCTTGGTACCAGTAACTGAGTTGTTACTGTGCTGCCATCCGCACTTTCCCATGTGCGCTTTAACAATCCATTCTCAATAACCAGTGAATTCCACTGAGCCCAGAGAGCTTTGAAAACGAGCCCTCTGTTTGCAATATCCTGCCACGGTGGTCTCTCGCCGTTACCTTCCTTGAGCCGTAGTATTGCTCCGATGTCTGGATCTTCCATTTGATCTTTCCTCAATTGTGTCGTCGTCCACTGTTCATCGGTTCCAAGCTTAAAACTCCTTATTCTGATAGTGCTTTCGCGATGTTTCATTTTCTTGTCCAAGGTAGCTCGTCGTCGATCTAGGTCGTTGTCGATAATTTGTACCCGTCCTACACGGCACCCAGCGGTTTTCTCTAGTTTCCCGAACACAGTCTTCTTGGTATCACCAGGTATCATCACAATTTTCGATAATATTTCTTCCATATTTCCTGGTCTCTTCTCTTTAGATACAGAAAATTCCTCATTTCCGATTTTCAGGATGTTTCTATGGTGATCAAACGAAAAACCATGTTGACTGATCACATCCATACCCATGATAAAATCATCTTCAATGTCCGCCACTAAAACGCTATGCCGAAACTTCAAATTCCCTAACTCCAATTCCATGAAAGCCTCTCCCCGTACAACGGCCATTTCCCCCGTAACTGTACGTAAATACACTCTTCTTCTAAGAGGCATCATCTTCAATCCTCGCACTGAGTTAGTCTGCACCAACGATACCATAGCGCCTGTGTCCACAGTCATTCGAATTCTTCTACCATTGACCTTCCCGTTGATCACCAAACTGTCAGCGGTTTTTCCTAGACTCCTAACGGAAAACATCCTAGGGGCTCTGTTTTCTTCAGCCAATACTCGCTCATTAGTGTTGATTTCCTGGTGCCTATGTTCTCTCGATGGTAAACGGAATCGCATTTGGACGCGGCAATCCCGTTTGGGATATATACAGGGTGTCCCAGAAATGAGTGCAGATATTTTAAGGGGTGGTAGATCTGGCCAAAAGAAACATATTTTCTCTTTACCGTTTTTAAAATAGATTGAAAATAACCGAGTTATTTAACTTTGAAAGTTTAAAAAAAAAATTGCG